GGGGGCACGGGCGTGGGCTGCGCAGCGCCACGGCGTGCAGGGGGCTGGGCGTCAGGAAAGGCCCCGCGCGCGGCCGCCGCTCTGCCGACAGGCAAGCCTCTGCCCCTGAAGAGCCCGCGGCCGTCGGGTAGGGCGCCGAGAAGGACCGCGGCACGGCGGCCCGAGCGCTCACTGCCTCGCGAGCGCTGGGACTGGCGTCTCCTAGGAGAGGGAGGCAAGAAAGGAAGGGAGTGGAGGAGCTCTCAAAGTCTTTTCTCACCGAGTCTGGGAGGGCAGGCTTCCTCTCCCACTAAAAGCCCTGCTCTCATCCCTTTCCCCATATTCAGGTTCCTAACAAAATCTTCACAGTGGCTTACAAGCCTCTGCATGATCTGTCTCGCCCACCCCGATCTCCTGCCGCTTCCTCTTTGTTTGTAGGATTCCAGCCACGCGGGCCTCCTGAAAATACATGCCAGTTGCACTCGGGCCTCAGGGCCTTTGCACTTGCTGTTCATGCTACCTGGAACACTCTTCCCCCAAGATATCTGTTTGGCTGGCTCCCTCCCTTACTTTCAGGTCACCACTACTGTGTCACTGTCTCAGTGAGGACTCCTCTGGCCGTATTTTCTAAAATTGCAACTCTCTCCCCAACACAAACAGACCTTTTCTAGCTCCTTTCCTTGGTTTCTTTCTTTTCCCAGTACATGTCAATATCTAACATCCTATGTATTTTACTTCTTTATCTTGTATAGTAACTATCTCTCCCACTAGAATGTCAGCTCTATAACAGCAGAGATTTGTGTCTGTTTTGTCAGCTGTATCTCCTACCCCTAGCAGAGTGCTGCTTCTTGTGTACTGTGGAGTCCATTCCACAGTACAGAGACCTGATATGACAGAGTAGAACTGCTCTGTAGGATTTACTAGGCATAGTAAGCCAAACCAAACTGTCACTGGGGAGTTGATTCTGACTCATGGCAACCCATATGTGTTAGAGTAGAAGATCACCAGGCCTTTCTTCCACACTGCTGCTGGGTGGGTTTGAACCACCAACCTTTAGGTTAGTAGTTTTTATTTACTGGGCAGCTACCATATGCCAAGTCCAGTGCCTTAGGGCAGAGGCTCACTGAAAGCTCAAAACATCCCTACGAGGTAGGCATTGTTATGATCCCGTTTTAACAGATGAAGAAATGGAGGCCCGGAAAGAAGAGACGTGCTCAAAATCATACAAGAAGAATATCACAGCGGAATTTGAATCCAAATCGGTCTGACTCAGAAGATTGTGCTCCAAACTGTCTGCTTTTAGTGTCCATTCCCTGGCCTCAGGGCCCCCTACCCCACCCACCTTACCTAGAGACTTGGGCCGCTCACTGGCATAGATGCCCCGGGGTTCAGAGGGACCTAGGCGTCCATAGGAGCCAGATCCAGAGAAGCCACTGTCCCCACAGAAGGTCGAGGGTGGTGAGTCTGGAGCTCCTGTGGAGCTGGGGTCTTCATAGAAGCCTGGATTCCAGGGAGAAGGGGAGAGAAAATCAGGGAGCCTGGATGGGGAGACCAGGGGCAGGGAGACAGGGAGAACAAGGGAGCAGATAGAGGGTGAGACAGAGGGGCAGAGAGAGGGGGGACTGAGGGGCAGAGAGAGGGAGGAGACTGAGATGGGGTACAGTGGGAAAGATAAGGGTGTCCCGGGAAGGCCTTCCCTTCCACCTGTGCTCACCCGAACTGCGCCCGCTCTCTTGCTCCAGGCCCCCAGACTCCAGGCTCAGGTCTCCCAGCTGCTGGCCCAGGTCCCAGATGAGCCCAGGCAGGGCTTCCTGGGGACACAGGGAGAGCAGGATGGTCAGAAGAGCCCCAGTCCTCTGCCCACGGGTCCCCTCATTCCATGGGCTCATGGGCAGAGTCTCATTTTTTACCTGAGTCCCAGGACACCCCTCAGTATCTGTCCCTTTAGCCCCCTTTGAAAGTCCTTCTGGCTGTCTAACTCCAGTCTTTCATGCTGCAGTTCCATCTCAGTCCCTCTTAGGTATGATGAAGCCTCATCCCTTGGGCCATCCATATCAGCCATTTCCCCCATCTATTGCTTACAGCCCCTTAGCCCCTATTAGAATGTCCCTCTTTGAGTTTAACTTCAGATCTTCTTGCTGTAAGGGCAGTTCACTGCTAAAACGTTGTGCCCAAGATCCAGCAGAGCCCTTAGCCGTGGGTGTGCCTTCTCCCAATCCTTAACCCTGCCTTCTCAGATGCTCCCATCTCCTCCCATTGCCAGTGGGAAAGATTAACTGTAACATCTTTAGAAAGTCCCTTTGCTAGTGTCCCTTAAGTCCTTCCTGCTGCAGACTCTTTCCCTCAGTTAAAAGAAAGCTGATCACAACTCATGGACTTCTTTGCCCCTCCCCTCAGAACGCCCTCTTCCTACTGGGAAGTCCTTATGTGAGTCTAGCCTTAGTGGTATTGCTGTAAGGACATTTGTGCCAAGCCCCAATAGGTCCCTTTACCCCCGGAACCATATTCTCCTCCAGCCCTTGCTCCATTCCAACCCGGAAGCCCCCACTGTCTGCCCACAGTGCCTCACTCATCTCGAGGAAAAATGTCCGCGAGTCTATCCTGGATCCTTCTTGCTGCAGGAAAAGACCATTTTTTAAATCAGGTGTGAATAAACGGAGGTGAAAACCCTTTGAGAGGAGTAAGAGTTACTGAGGGTGGGAGCTGAAACAACACGGGGTTTCCAAGACACTAGGACTTAACCCGTTTTTGGAAAACTGAGGCCCAGAGCCAGGAAGAGTTTCCCATGGGTCTGGCCGAGGCCAGAGGTGGCCATAGCCTCAGGCTGACGGTTGACCCTCAGACAAAAGCGGCTTGTCTGGGCAGCGGGAGGGAGGGAGGGAGGGAGGAGGGGCTTGGAGGGCAGGCGCCCAGCCTTTCCTATTTAGGGCAGAAAGACAAGACGGCTGCTCCGAAGCACCGCCCCAGCTTCCCCTCCCCGGCTCTCCTAGGGCTCTCCTGACCCACCCCCACCCGCCCAGAACAGAAGCCCCCGTCTGGGCCTGTTTATGCAAGGAAGGTCAACAAAGCATTCCACTGTGGGCTCCTGCCCTGGTGTGAAAAGATTATCATGGCGGAGTCATCTCTGAGCAGAGTAGAACCCAGGAAAGCAGCCGAACTGTGCAGCATCAAAACCTCAAAACCAAACCCGTTGCCGTCCAGTCGATTACGACTCATATCAACCCGCTAGGACAGAGTAGAACTGCCCCATGGGGTTTCCAAGGCTGTGAATCTTTCCAAAAGCAGACTGCCACAGCTTTCTCCCACAGAGCGGCTGGGGGGTTTGAACGACCTTGTTTTGGTTAGCGACTGCACCACCAGGGCTCCGTGCAGCATCGGGCTGCCCATATACCCCATGTCATGTCCTCCCACTAATGGTCCCCTTGGTCACTGCGCTCTAGCCACATCGGCCTCCTTGCTGTTCATTTGAACATGCCGTGTATGCTCCTACCCCAGGGCCTTTGCACTGGCTGTTCTCTCTGTAGGACAGGTTTCGCCCATGTATCCTACTGGCTGACTGCCTTGCTTCACTCAGGCGCCTGATTACACAGTCCCTTTTCTGACCCAACCAAAACCAAAACCTGTTGCTGTAGAGTTGATTCCGACTCATGGCGACCCCGCGTGTTACAGAGTAGAACTGCTCCATACGGTTTTCTTGGCAGTGGCTCTGCAGGAGAAAGACCTGACAATCTTCTTCCATAAAGATTATAGCCAAGAAAACCCTCTAATCTAAATTGACTCTAAAGCACCCAACAACAACAAATCTTCATGGAAGCAGATCACCAGGCCTTTCTTCCACAGCACCACTGGGTGAGTTCGAACAGCCAACCTTTAGGTTAGTGGCTGAGTGCAAACTGTTTGTGCCACCCAGGCACCTCCTTCTCTGAGCACTCTGTCTAAAATAGCTCCCCTGTGTTTTTTACATAGCAGGAATGACTTCCTGGCTTAAAATTATGTATCGATCTGTCACTTGTTTATTGTCTGTCTCACTAGAACATCAGCTCCTGGAGAGCAGGGATTTTTGTTTGTTTTGTTCACTACTGTGTCCCAAGTGCCCAGACCAGTGCCTGGTACAAAGGAGGTGCTCGGTAACCATTTGATGAAAGAGTTAATGTCTACAATGGAATACTATGCAGCTGTTAAAAATGGAATAATTTCAGTATGGAATCAGTGCCAAGATCCATGGTAAGTGGCAAAAGAAAAGTAAAAAATTTATAGTAGGAGTGTGAGAATCACCTGGAGGCTTGTTAAAACCCAGATTTCTGGAACTGACTTCCAGTTTCTGATTGGGGCCTGGAGGTTAACAGTAACACCATTAGAAAGCCCTTTTGCTAGTCTCCCTTAAGCCCTTCCTGCTGCAGACTGATTCTTTGAGAATTTGCATTTTGAACAAGTTCCCACGTGATCTGACACAGCTGGTCCAGGGGGCCACACTTTGAGAACCACTGGCATAGATTCTGGGACCTTACCCAAGAAACTGGAATTTGTAAGAAAAAAAAAAAAAAAAGGTAAAGCAAAGCTCTACATGTCTTGGTATGTAAACTGTTTTCATGAGTCCAGGCACTGGAAGAGGTCTGGAAGGACTCACAGTAGGGTGACAGTGGTGTTGCTCCCAATGGAGGGGGTTTAGGGGGTCAGGGGAGGGAAGGGGGGAGGGAAGTGTTTAAGGAGGCATGACTTGGAGCCAAATTGTCGTTGTGTGCTATCGACTCAGTTTTGCCTCATAGCGACCCCACCCATGTGACAGAGTAATGTGACAGAGTAGAACTGCCCCATAATGTTTCCTAGGATGTAATCTTTACAAAAGCAGATCTCCAGGTCTTTTCTCCTATGGAGCCACTGGGCAGGTTCAAACTGTTGACCATTCAGCTAGCAGCCAAGTGCTTTAACCAGCTAGGGTCTAATCCCAGCTCTGCCACGTCCTAGCTGTGTGACCTTGGGAAGGTTACTTCACCTCTCTGAACATCAGTTTCCCCATCTGTAACATGGGCATCATACAATTCTCTCTCTTATGGAGTTATTGTGCAGATTTAATGAATTTTAATAAACAGTTCCTTTAAAGCACTTAATAAATGCCAACTTTTCTTATTATATGAAAGCTATAAATTTCTTACAAGCAAAATATGAATTGTGTTTTTACTTGTGCAACGAAAAATAAATGTAGAAAACGATTTTTTTTTTTTTTTTTTTTGGTAAGGTCTGCAGGTCTAATTTCAGTTCTTCTACTACGGGGAAGAGGGAAGAGCAGGAATTGGGGGCAGGGGCAGACAGGAGAGGCCTCCTCCCCCAGCAGAGACCACTTCCCTCCCAGCCACCTCAGTCTACTCCCATCACCCCCTGCCCCAATAGCAAGTCTGACTTCACTCCTTCTAGCTGCAAACGGGTGAATCTTTAACACAAAGGACCAGAAGGTCCTTGGCCTGAATCTGGCCGCCTGCCTGCTCTCATGCCCCTCATCCTATTTTTGCAAGCCCTTTTGTAAGTGGCCTCAGGCCATTCTGCTCAGGCAGGTGTAACAAGGGTGTGGTCAGGACGCCTGGAGACCCCAGTGCCCACACTTTCCCAGACCTTTGCTTCTCTCAGCTCATATGTCCTAGTCGGGATGCAATGCCCTTCATCTCTGTTAGGAAGTCCTTCTGCAAATCTAACTTAAGTCCTTTCTACTGGAACCCCCAACGGCAAGCTCTGACCACACACATGCTTTCCTTCTTTGGAGAGAGCAGGACCCAGGGAACCCCCCCCCCGCTTTAATCCAGGGTTCTTGCCTCTATTCTCTGAGATACCCCTAGTTTTTACCTGGCATCCTCATCATTCCTATTAAAAAGTAATCAAGTCTAACTTGAGTTTTTCTTGCTGCAAAGAGAGTGTATGGGGGGGTCAGCTTCATAAGACAAGGGTTCAGGGATCAGAGGAGGCTCCCACCCCCTCCTCAGAAGGATTTAGGAACCTCCAACATCAGAGGAGTTTATATTTAGCGCTTCTCTGCTCCACCCTCAGTGCGGCTGTCTCCCTCAGCCCTCCCGCCGCCACCGCCTCCTCCCTGATGCCAGGACCGAGTTTGCCTGGAGACTGTGAGGGGGAGAGGCCTCCCCACTACCATTTCAAGTCAGCCAGGGAACCGAGGGGTGGGGGGACTCCAAGGGGCAGAGAGATAGGGAGAACGAGGGGCAGAGAGAGGGAGATTGAGGGACAGAGAAGCGGGGGGGGGGGTCCGAGGGGCAGAGAGAGAGGGAGATTGAGGGGTAGAGAGATGAGGAGACGGATGAGAGATGGGGAGACTGAGGGGCAGAGAGAAGGGGAAACGGAGGGGCAGAGAGAAGAGGGGACCGAGGGGAAAAAGAGGGGAGAGACTGAGGTACAGAGGGAAGGAGGACACTGTTATCCATACCCTCTTCCTCTCCTCCCTGGGATGGGAGGCACCTTTCGGAGCCCAGCCAGCTTGGGTGGGGGGAGCTGGTGAAGGCCCCCACAATCCGTCTCCAACTTTAGGAGGGGGTGGGGCCTCCCACAGCTGTTTCTGCTTCCCCGAGAAGAATGTGTAGGGTCCCGCTCCGAACGGGGGAGGGGCTGGGCTTGCAGCCCCGGAGTCTGGCTTCAGCTCCCCTCCCCACTCCCCATCTGGGGAGGGGGCAGCCGAGGTCAGCCGCAGGGAGAGCCCCCTTCCCCCCAACCTCGGCTCAGATTTCCCCAAACGGGAAGCTCTGGCCACACACAGGCTTGGGGATGGGATCAGCAAGTGGAGCCAGGGTCTAGGGCCCGGCGGGCTAGGGGGAGCTGCTGGAGGATGGGCGGGGACAGATAGAGACCGAGACGTGGGGCAGGAAAAGAAAGAGGTGCAGCAATGCAGGAAGGGAAAGCCAGGGAAACAGAGAGACTCAGAGAGACAGAGACGGAGAGGTAGAGGGTTAAGAAAGAGAGGCAGACATAAAGTCACAGTGATGTGGGGATATGGAGGGAGTAAGAGAACCCAGGAAGAGGTCAGGAGAATGAAGGAATGACACAGAGGGGGACAGAGGGATGATGCCTCCTTAAATCAATCCGGAGACCTCTGTCTCATTTTCCACCATTAGAGCGCCAAGGAGGTCCACAAGTCAGGTACTCCCATGCTGCCTCAACCCACCGCCTCTGGGATCAAGGAGGGTTGGGAGCAGGTAGGAAAGGAAAGGATATGTCACCCGAGGGGCAAGATCCCTGTGGGGTGCTCAGGGACCGTGAGCTTCCTCTCAGCAGTGATCCCTCCCCCAGGAGGCCCTAAAGCCCCCTCCCCCATTCTGCCCCCTCCAGAGATCTCTAAGCACACCAGGATTAGGGAAGATGGAGCCCTGGTAGCCGGGCCAGGAGGGGGGCATGTTTGGATCACGGCTGTGTGGGCTGTGTGACCTTCGGTGAGTAGCTTGCCCTCTCTGAACCTCAGTTTCTTTCTCCGTACAATGGGGACGATCACCTCCTATCTCCCAAGCTCCAAGGAGACCACGCATGCAAAGTATTCGGCGCCCCGCTTGACACATACTTGGCGCCCAGAAGGATTTTTCTTTGGTAAGGAGGTAGGGGATGGAGCCTATGCATCTCACGAGGCCCTAGCGGAGGCGATGCAATCTCCACCACCACCTTGCGTCCGGGTTTGGAGGCGGGAAGGCCAGATCCCGCCCGCCGCTCGAACTCCCCGTCCCTACCCCCTTCCTCTCCCCTCCCACCCCTCGCGATCGGGACCGGTGTCTGAGCATCCAACCAAGACAGACTGACAGACAGACTGGGGGAGGGGCGGGGACGGACGGACAGGCAGCCCCTCACCAGCTGCTCCTCCAGGGCCTCTGCGGCCCGGCGCGCCGCCGCCGCATCTTCGTCCTCCTCGGCGTCCTCCTCGTCCTCGGCCTCGGCGCCCCCCATTCCGGGCTGGGCTAGCCGCAGCGCCTGCTGCACGCGGTACTCCTGCCTCTCCCGGAGCCAGTGCAACTCGCAGAGGCCGGCCAGGCTACCCTCCAGCCAGCCCCGCAGCCGGCCCCGCTCGGGGCTCACCGGGAACGAGAAGGCCCCGATCATGGCTGCAGCCCCCCGCCCCAGCCTGGCCGGGCCCCGCGGCCACCCCTCTCCCGGTCCCACCTCCTCGCCCCAGCAGCCCGCCTGCCGCCCGCCCGCTGGCCCGGCTGTCACCGTCTCATCTGCATAGGCGCCCGCCCATTGGGCCGCCCACCGGCGCCTCATCTGCATGGCCACGCCCCTGGCTACAGAGTAACCGCCGTCTATTGGCCGGTCCCCGCCCTTGGTGAAGACAGTCGGCCGTGCGGCCGCACCTTCCAATACGACGCATGCTCGCAGCTGCCTACTCGCTCTGCTTACTGGTGGCCTCGCCACGCCCCCCGCGCGCCTACCTTTGGGTCCAGGCCACACCCCCATGCATCACAATAAAATACGTCCGCCCTTGCTCCGCTACCATTGGTCCGTGCCTTCCCGGCCCCGCGGCTGGTTCCGCCCCCTTGCGGGCGAGCTCGGGCTACCATTGGACTGTCCAGCAGGAGGGGGAGTTGGTGATCTATAAATAAAGAATGGGTCCACGTGACAGTCTGGCTGTTGCACCTCCCCCTTTCCCAATCCTTCTGAGGCAGAGCAGGGGGCGGGAAGGGTTAGGGGGCTGAGCCCTGATTCACCTCCTCTTCCAGGAAGACTTCCTAACTTAGTGTAACTCAGCTGTAAAAGAAGAGGCTGGTCCACCTTTCAGCCAAAAGATTAGACAGACCTATAAAACATGTAATAACACGTGAGGAACAGTGATTCTAAGTTTAATTAAGTATAGGAGACCGAATGGGCAGCACCTGCCCAAAAGCAAAGAGGAGAAGGCAGGAAGGGACAGGAAAACTGGAAGAATGGACAGGAATGGACACGGAGAACCCAGGGTGGAAAGGGAAAGGGGGAGAGTGCTGATACATTGTGGGGATGGCAACGTATGTCACAAAACAATCTGTGTATAAGTTTTTGAATGAAAACCTAATTTGCACTGTAAACTTTCACCTAAAACAATGAAATTTTTTAAAATGCTGAAATGGCAGAAGTTTTGTAATATACATTTTTTATCAGGATAAAAGATACAAATTTAAAAAAAAGGGAGGGGGGGCCAGGGCTAGCTAAGACTGACATTCTCCGATAAAAATTATGCTTCTAAGCAGACCTGGCTTCACAGTCTTGCGACCTGTGCCACGCGCTTAGACGAACCCCATGTTTGGTTTAATGCTCTGCTGTCGCTGTCTTGAAATTCTTTTTTTTTTTTTTTTTTTAACAAGGGGCCCTGAGCTCTACAAATTAGGCAGCCGGTCTTGCTTCTAAGAATGTAAGATTGATTGTATCCCACATTCTGGAATTATAAGACCCCGGGTGGAAGCTTCTATGATTCGGCCAGCACAGAATCTAAGTGCCTTTTGTCCCCCAGGTGCTGTGGTGCTTTGTGCCCACTATTCTACGATTCCAGGGGCCTTTGTTCTACGTTCTGAGAGGCTTTGTTCTCAGCCTTCTAAGATGCTCTGTTCTCAGCGTTCTGTGGTCCTAAGAGTCTCAGTCTGACAGCCATTTCCAAGGTTGCCTCCTCCCTTCCCGGGCTCCGTGAGCGGGTTAGTGCCCCCTCAGGTGGCCAGCCTGTGTCACTACGCCGAATGTGCCTCCCTACAATCTTCAGGAGACCTAGTTCCGATATTCCTACCCATTTCTCAGACAGACCTTGACTCCCTAAAAGCCAGGGGCCTGGAAGATCATGTGAGAATGATGTCCCCTGCACAAGGCGACTTTCTGGTCATGAGCTGGAGAAACACTTGTAAACTCTTGTAGTGGATAAGAGCAAGGACTTGGGAGTCACATGGCCTGGGGGTAAATTCCAGCTCTGTCACTTACTGGCTGTGTGACCTTGGGAAAGTGGCTTAGTCTCTATGTACCTCAGTTTCCTCATCTGTATAATGGGGGCTGTAACACTTAAGGTTATTATGAGGATTAAATGACATATGTGTCAAGGGCATGGAGCAGTGCCTGCCACATCACTTATAAAGAGCCACAGAAGGATTTGATAAATAAGTAAAAAGTAATTTAAAAAAATCTGTTGCTGTCAAGTGAATTTTGACTCATAGTGACCCTGTAAGACAGAGTAGAACTGCCCCATAGGGTTTTCAAGGAGAGTTGGTGGATTCATACTGCTAACCTTTTGGTTAGCAGCTGTAGCACTTAACCACTGTGCCACTAGGGCCCCAAAAAGTAATCTAGTGGATGCCAAAGAGAAAAATGAATTTGGACTTTAGTGGAGACAAATTTTATTCAGTCCCTCATCTTGTTCTAGACGAACCTAATCTGTCCTTGAACAACTTTGATTGTCCAACAATTGAGAAACTATGGGGGGGACTGGTAGAGGTCTGGAGAACTCTGGACAAGATTTTCGAAGTAGTCAATGTCTGGGATGATGTCAGGATTGGTTTTTCATCCCTGCTGTTTGTGCAAGACCTGTTCAGCCATTTTGAGCCTGGTACTGATTTAGGGTTCTGGTCACCAGGAGTTGAGAAGGGAAGATAATTATCCAAGTTTGAATAGGCCATAATACCAGTTGCCATCAAGTCACCTCTGACTCATGGTGACCCTGTATGTGTCGGAGTAGAACTGTGTTCCACAGGGTTCTCAATGGCTGATTTTTCAGAAGTAGATCACCAGGCCTTTCTTTCGAGGCATCTCTGGGTGGACTCAAACCTCCAACCATTCAGTTGCAGGCGGGTATGTTAACTGCACTACCCATGGAGTCCAATGAGTTTGAGTCAACCTGAAGGCAACTAGTTGTGTAAACACAAGGGTCCTTATAAGAGAGAGGCAGGAGGGTCAGAGTCAGAGAAGGAGATGTGACGAGAGAAGCAGAGGTTGTAGTGATGAGTTTTGAAGATAGAGGAAGGGGCTATGAGCCAAGGAATGCAGGAGGCCTCTAGAAGGTGATTCTCCTCTAGAGCCTCCGGAAAGAACACAGCCCTGCCTATACCTTGATTTTAGCCCCATAAGACCCATTTCAGACTTCTGACCTCCGTAGCTGTTAGATACAGACTCGTGCAGGCTTAGGTGAGGGCTGTGAGTCAGATGTTTGGGCTGTCTTGCCTTCAGGAAGGGGCTTAAACTCTATGGGCTGTTGAAAGTCAGTGAGGATATACTCTGCTTGGAAATCTCCTGGATGTTTAAGCTAAGAGCCGTCCACACATCCGTACAGTTCTTTCCTGGGGCTATGATTGGAGACGGATTTGTTGCTCTGTTGTCCACGCAGCTGGATCTTAGACTGATCAGTTGTAGAGGGGAAGATGTTCCAGATGGAGTCCAAGGGACATTCCCTCATAGTATTTGCTCTGACATATGCCTCAGAGGTGTTACAGCACCTTTGGAGAGCCTCATTTACTGAAGTCCATTAAAAAACACAGAAAACCAAACCCAGTGCCATCTAGTCGATTCTAACTCAAGGCAGCCCCTAGCGTTACAGAGTAGAACTGCTCCATAGGATTTTCTTGGCTGTCATCTAGGAGGAGCCCTGGCGGTGCAGTGATTTAAGAGTTCAGCTGCTAACCTAAAGGGCGGCAGTTCAAATCCACCAGCCCCTCCTTGGAAACCCTACAGGGCGGTTCTACTCTGTCCTATAGGGTCGCTAAGAGTTGGAAATGACTCGACGGACAATGGGATTTTCTTTTTCGGAATCTAACGGAAGCAGATCGCCAGGACTTTCTTCCACAGTACCACTGGGTGGGTTTGAACAATCGACCTTTAGGTGACCAGTCAAGCACAGACCATTTGCTCGACCTAGGGACCTGAGGCACATTTAGCTTTCTCAAATAAAAGAGCTATATTTCCAGACCAACTGCAGATGGACAAATTGATATAAATCATGAAGTCAGATATTAGCCTGAATTGGTTGCTAAATTCTTCTCTTTCTGCATGGCTCAGGAAGGTCTTTCACTATGGTGTGTAAGTCTGAGTGTGACTGAGGTTTAAAGACAACTTGTTCGGGTGCGTGCTCAGATGATTGACCCTCAGCTGTGGGTGGCGAAGGGCCGAGAGTCCAGGTGACAGTGAGTGTCTTAGTTATTTAGTGCTGCTATAACAGAAATACCACAAGTGGGTGGCTTTAACAATTTATTTTCTCACAGTCTTGCTGTTGTTGTCCTGCGCCATCCTTACAATCATTGCTATGTTTGAGCCCATCGCTGCAGCCACTGTGCCAATCCATCTCATCCAGAGTCTTCCTTTTTTTCACTGACTGTCCACTTTACTAAGCATGATGTCCTTCTCCAGGGACTGGTCCCTCCTGATAACATGTCCAAACTATGTGAGACGAAGTCTTGACATCCATGCTTCTAAAGAGCATTCTGGCTGTACGTCTTCGAAGACAGATTTGTTTGTTCTCCTGGCAGTCAATGGTATATTCAATATTCTTCACCAACACCATAATTCAAAGGCATCAATTCTTCTTCAGTCTTCTTATTCATTGTCCAGCTTTCACATGCATATGAGGCAATTGAAAATACCATGGCTTGGGCCAGGCACATCTTAGTTCTGAAAGTGACATCTTTGCTTTTTATCACAGTTTAGGAGGCTAAAAGTCCAAATTCAGGGCACCAGCTCTCGGGGAAGGCCTTCTCTGTCAGCTCTGGGGGAAGGAACTTGTCCCTTCGGGTTCTGTTTCCTGGTTCCTTGGAGATCTCCACGTGGCTTGGCATCAATGTTTCCCTGACATGCTTGCTAAATCTTCTCATTTTATATCTTATAAGAGACTGACTCAAGATGCACCCTACACTAATCCTGTCTCATTAACATACCAAAGAAACCCATTCCCAAATGGGTTTATGACCACAGGCATAGAGGTTAGGATTTACAACACATTTTTGGGGGACACGATTCAATCCATAAGAATGGGTAATTGGGGATCTGGAAGGCAAGGGTCAAAGGCGGTGAGAGGTGGATACAAGGAGGCAGCAGTGAAATGAGGGTGGTGGAGGGGGTGAAAGAAAGGATTGTGAAGTTCAAAGAGATCAGGAGGGGGTGGGGAAGGAGAGGAAGAAGTATTCCCACACAAACAGCCCTTAAGTGATTGCAGGATTTGGGAGAGGTGAGAGGTATTTTGTTTTTCAGCTTCCTTATACTAAGTGAAGAAAGCTGACTGCTGCTTAAAGGAGATCTTGGACCCTCAAGATCTGAGAGCTCCCTGAAGGGAAACAGGTTTAGGGAGGTCCCAGTTCCCCAAAGGGGCCATTGAAGTTCCAAGTTGCCTTTAGTGAAGTTTTGCCATTTCTGGAGGGATTGGACTGAGTCACTGGATGGTGAGCCCCGTGAGAGTAGGGCTGGGATGCTCTTGGTCACCGGTGTCCTCAGCGTCACGCAGCCCAGTGTGACAAATGGATGAACAAGTGAATGAGCACATTCAGTGTGTAGAGAAGTCATCACATCAACTAAATATTATATATTAAGTTTCTACTATGCACCACACAAACAAACCTGTTACTGTAAAGTCAATTCCAACTCATGGTAACCCCATGTGTTACAGACTAGAACTGAGCTCCCTAGGGTTATCTTGGCTGTAATCTTTACAGAAGCAGATCATCAAGACTTCCTTCTGTGGCACCACTGGGTGGGTTTGAATGGCCAACCTTTTGGTTAGTAGCCCAGTGCAAACCATTTGCGACCTATCTTGTGCCAACTGCATTGTTGTTATAGTTATGATTATTAGTAACACCACCAAATAAAAAAATTAATCTTAACAAACCATGAGATTGCTTTTCTCCAAATCCTTCTGCCCCTCTGGTCATGATCCCTCCTCCTTTTCCAGTTCTTCCTCCATTACTCTTCCCTCTCCTCCTTACACTACCCCACACTTATCCTTCTTCTAGTGTTCTGTCAGAAGCGACTGGATGACACCTAACAACAAGTGTTCCCTTCTGGCAGTCATCCATACCTCCGCCTCCAGGCAGCACTCCTTCATAACTCTTCATCCCGGAATCAGGGCTCCCTTCCGGTCTCCTCCCCCTACTTTCCATCCTCCCTCCATCCCGTCTTTCCAGGGAGTCCTCCTTCCAGGTGAACTCCATCTTGGTAAACGAACAGACTAATGATTCAAGCGTGTGGTGTGGGCATAGGCCAAAGCCACTGGGCCAAAGATGAGTCCGTTTTAATTGTTAGGGCGACAGAGAAGGGCCTTTGGAAATGACCCTGTGAACCCCATCCCCATGCCCCCACCTCTCCGTCCCCAGGGTGTGTCCCCTCCAGTTAGGGTACAAAGCCTCTTCCCGTAGAATAGTTCGTAGCTGGCATTCGGGTGGAAGGCAGGTCCCCGAGGGCGGGAGTACAGGGCCTCAGAGGACGCTAACGCGCTCGGCCAGCCCCTGCATCTCGTGCTCCTGTAGAGGGAGGATCCCACTGAGCTCCGCATCGAAGGGCAGCCCAGGCCCGGGCAGCGGGTGCTCGGTAATGAACTGCTCCCAGCGGGCGTCGTCGCTCTCGTGCGTGATGTACCGCTCGCCCATCTTCCCCTCCAACTCTCGGAGGTCCAGCCACGTCTGGTACTCCTACGCCCGGGAGAACAGGGATTAGCGTGGGTACAGCAAGAGCTCCGCTCTATATCGTCTGCCCTGCCAACGCGAGGCCAGGCTGCAGCTGGTACCCAGGGAAACGAAGCCACACCCTTCCCAAGGGACCAGCCAATAGAGAATTAGCTCCACCTTTCTACAGCCCAGCCAATGGGAGCCTCGGCCTGCTCGCCCAGTAAGCGACCTAGTCCCACCCCTTTCTCCAACTCAGCCAATGGACAGCCCCACCCCCTTTGCTTTCAGCCCCGCCCCCTGCGTCACCTGTAACCAGGAGTGGCTGAGAGATTTGTCTACGCTGTAACGTTTGCGCATCTTCACCTGGAGCAGGTTGTTGATGAGGTCAATGGCTGCGGCAGAAAGGAGAGATACAGCTCAATTGCTGCAGGGTGAGGCGCTGCCCCTCCGGCAACAGGCCACCCAGCCTATCTGCCGGCCATCAAGACTTTCTGTACTGGCCCAGAGGCTCGGAAGCCTCATCCACACCAATCACTCAATTACCTACTCCCTCAACCAATCAAAAACTTGTTTCTTGCCCTCAGGCTCACACACGCACTAGCCTCAGTTCTACATCTCTTCACCAATTCCCTGCCTCAGGTACCCCATTCCTATGTTACAGGTTGAATTGTGTCCCCCCAAAATATCTGTCGTAAATCCTAACCTCTGTGCCTGCAGTTATAAATTCATTTGGGAATGAGCTGTCTTTGTTATGTTAATGAGACAGGATTAGTGTAGGGTGTGTCTTGAGTCTCTCTCTTTTGAGATACTGAAAGAGAAGCAGAGACGGGGGAAGAGAGACGTCAAGCCACAGTGAGATCGCCCAGGAGCGGAAGCTCAAAAGAGACAATGACCTTCCTCCAGAGTCCACAGGGAAAAAGAGAAGCCTTGCCCTAGAGCCGGCACCCTGAATTCGGGCTTCTAGCCTCCTAAACTGTGAGAATATAAATTTCCGTTTGTTAAAGCCACCTACTTGTGGTATTTCTGTTACAGCAGCACTAGGTAACTAAGATAGTTTTCTCCACAATTTTTGTCATACACAGACCACTACCTGTACTATTCTTCACTTAACATCCATCCTTCTCCTTCTCTGTTGTCATTAGTTGCCATCTGACGCCATGTGTGCAGAGTAGAACTGTACTCCAAGGCTGTGACCTTTCGGAAACAGATCACTGGGCCTGTCTTCCAAGGCACCTCTGGGTGGATTTGAACCGCCAACCTTTTACAGCTAGTAGTCGAGTGCTTAACATTTTGTGCCACCAAGGGATTCCAAATATTCTTATTTAAACTAACTCATTACCCAAGATATACCGTTAAGCGGACAAAGCAAGTTGGAGAACAGCGTGCACAGCCTGCCGCCTTCTGTGTAACAAGGGGAAATAAAATGTGTCCACATACTTGCTTGCAAGGAGTCCTGGTGGCTCACAGTTTGTGCTCAACTGCTAATTGAAAGGCTGGCAGTTCAAACCTACTCAAGGGTGCTGTGAAAGAAAGACCTGGTGATCTGCTTCCATAAAGATTACTGCCAAGAAAACCTTATGGAGCCGTTCTACTCTGTAACACATGGGGTTGCCATGAATTGGAATCAACTCAAGGCAATGAGGTTTTTTTTTTGATTGTTTGTTTATTTGCTTACATACATGTAAAATCCCGAGAGAGAGAGAGAGAGAGAGAGAGAGAGAGAGAGAGAGACAGGATACTCATAATAGCGATTGCCTTTGGGACAAACGGCAAAGAAGCGAGGGAGAGAATTTTCACTGCAGACTCTTCTGTGTATTTAAAAATTTTAAGCATACAGTTAACTTCTGCCAAAATTGTTAATCTTTTGTTTTAAAATCAGTTTATATTTTCTTCAATTCACCTTTAAGGTTAAATATAAATTTATTTAAAATGAATACTTTAAATCACCTTGGTCAGTGGAAATCCAATGGTCATTTGGCATGTCCACAAAAGTAAAATGAGAATAAAAACAATGATCTTAGATGCTAGTTAGTCACTGGCTCCCTGCAGAAAGGCCAGAGACTGAAAGATCTGTTTTTTTTTTTCCTGTGAGAAGGAGGATTAGTGAGTATCAGGAGTTCAGGACAAACCAGCACCGCCTGAGACTCTCTCCTGGACCACAAGTTTGAAGGACAAGTCTTCACTGAGTGACTCCATCTGAGTATCGACTGCTCTAGTCAACACCCAGGGATTCCCTCACAATTGTCCATCCATTCATGCACACTCCACATACATTTATTGAGGGGTTACAGAGTGGACCTCAGAAAGACAACCCTGGGGACCCCTAATATTACATGCTATGAACTGAATTGTATCCTCCAAAAAGAAATATGGAAGTCCTAATCTCTGTACCTGGTAAATATGACCCTGTTTGGAAATGGGGGTTTCTTTGGTCATGTTAATGGGTCATACCAGAGTAGGGTGGGTCCTAAACCTAATCTCTTCTGAGTCGCATCTTATGAACACACACACAGGTGAAGACAGACACACACACACACACACACACACACAGAGCAGATGCATCTATAAGCCCAGGAACCACAAAAATTGCCAGCAGCTACCAGAAGCTGAAAGAGACAAAAGACCTTGCCCTGGAACCAATGCCCTGAATTTGGACTTCTAGCCCCCTGAACTGGGAGAAAATAAATTTCTGTTCTTTAAAGCCACTCACTTGTGGTATTCTTTGTTACAGCAGCACTAGGTAACTAAGACGTTATGCTACTCCAAGACTCAAGTCCATCTTCATTCTTACCTCTTAGTCCTTAGGCCCACCACCAAGACATTTTTGTGTACTGAGTAACCTCTACATCACCCCCTCTCTGCCTGCTCCATGAGGTCAAACCCCTCTAGGGCTCTTCCCCTGCTTCTCATGGCTGTGGATCTGACCACATGCCCTCTTCCCAGACCTCTCAAGGGAGCTTCTCCACAGACCATCCTTTCTGTCCAATTCACCAACAGGATTCCCAGAACCAAGGACTATCAGTACCAGGCACACAGTAGCACTTTACAGGTACTTATCAAATATATTTTTGTCTCCTTAACCTTCCTCCCACACTCCATCTGTCCTCCAGGGCTCCCTGGCTCAGGACTTGCCCCTTGTTCTCCTTCCACCTTACTGACACACCCCAGAATCTTGGCTCTGCCTGCGGCCCTCGCTCTCTAAACGTCCCACCCCCACACCTGGCTCCACCCCAAGGCTTCAGGCCGCAGGACTTAACTTTCCCAGGCCTGCCTCCTCTCCTCACCTCCACCATCTCCTGATGGGCCCAACTCACAAGGCCCAGTGCCACTACCTGCTCACGCTTTTAGACGCCAAAGCCCTTGGAGGCAGAGACCCCAATGTCCACCTCAGTCCTGGTACACTTCTCCTAGCAGTCACACACTCCTCCTCCTCCGCCAACTCCTAGGTGCCAGGCTGTGCCTATGGCCTCAGGGTTTGCCCTTTTAAGTTGCAAGGCCCCTCCTCATCTTCTGGCCCCGACCCCAGATGGGCCCTCTCCATCACTGGCCCGGCCCCACATGGGCCCTCTCCATCACTGGCCCTGCTCCCACGTGGGCCCTCTCCATCACTGGCCCTGCTCCCACGTGGGCCCTCTCCATCACTAGCCCTGCCCCACATGGGCCCTCTCCATCACTGGTCAGGCCCCCACACAGGCCCTCTCCATAGCTAGCCCCGCTCCCAGGTGGGCCCTCTCCATCATTGGCCCTGCTCCCACGTGGGCCCTCTCCATCACTGGCCCTGCCCCACGTTGGCCCTCTCCAACGCTGGCCCCGCCCCCAGGTGGGCCCTCTCCATCGCTGGCCCCGCCCCACGTGGGCCCTCTCCATCGCTGGCCCCGCCCCACGTGGGCCCTCTCCATCGCTGGCCCCGCCCCACGTGGGCCCTCTCGATCGCTGGCCCTGCCCCACATGGGCCCTCTCCATCGCTGGCCCTGGCCCACGTGGGCCCTCTCCATCGCTGGCCCCGCCCCCAGATGGGCCATCTCCATCGCTGGCCCCACCCCTTGGCCCTCTCCATTACCAGCCTCACCCCCTGCCATGGGCCCCAGGCTCTGGCCCTTCTAGTGCCCTGGCCGATCTCCACCCTAGTCACTCCCCTTACATCCAGCTGGTAGCCAAGCCCTTGTTCCTCCACCTTGCCCCCTGGCACCTCCGCTTTTCTAGGGCCCATCCTTTCCTGGTCATAAATAACCCCAAAGGCTCCAGGCCTCAGCCAACGCCTTGAGAGGGTCGGCCCTTTCTCCTGGCCATCCCAGATCTTTGGCCTCCTCAGGTCCTGCCCCTCTCTTGGTGCTTCCCTAGGCGGACTGAGTCTCACCCCGGTCCCCAAAGGCACCAGGCGTCTATCTTAGCGCTTCTAGGGCAATTCGTTTCCAACTCACATAGCCTAGTCTCAGCCTCAGTCTCTGGGTCCCTGGTTTTATACACGCCCCTAAGTCCTGACCCCAGGGTTCCAGGCCCAGAGAACCTGTCATTTACAGGACTGCCCTCGTTGCCCCGCCCCCCACTAGGCTCTACCCCCCAGGGCGCCTGGTCTATGACCCGCTATTTCAGGACTCACCACTTCTGGCCCCGCCCACTCTCCCCACCCCCGCTGTGGAGCCACGCCCCCAGCCTGGCTAACCTCCCTTGGAGATATGGCTCCAGGGGCTGGGCGGGTACATGAAGGCGGCATTCTGGATCTGGTCGTTGATGTCTTCGTCCTCATTGAAGGGGAATGTGCCGCTGAGGCTGACATACATGATTACGCCCACCGACCACATGTCCAGCGAGCGGTTGTAGCCCTGGTTGAGCAGCACCTCGGGCGCCAGGTAGGCAGGTGTGCCCACCACCGAGCGCCGGAATGACTTCTCGCCGATGATGCGCGCGAAGCCGAAGTCGCACAGCTTCACCTGTGGAGGGTGGAGGGGAGCAGGTCTGAGGGGGCTGTGAGGTCACCCCCATCACCCTCACTGAAGCATTCCAGAGGAAATCCAGCACTGCGGTTACAAATTCTGATTTGAATACAAGCTCCTCCGCTCACTAGCTGAGTGACCCTGGGCTACTAGTGACATCCCCTGTCTGTATGAGGAAGAACATGACAGCACCTTCCTCAAAGGCTTGTCTGAGGATTAAATGAATCAACCCATCAAAAGCTCATAGGACAATGAACGCCTGGCACACAGTAAGCGCTCAATAAATGCTACCAGCCGCTATATCTCTGTTACCCCCAGCACTTACTCTTAACCTCCCTGGGCCTCAGTTTCCTCTTTTGTACAATATAGATCCTGACAGTCCCAACCTTAAAGGCTGGTTGAGAGTAAATACATGTAAAGTGTTAGGGGTAGTGCCGGCAACAGAGGGAGCCTCAGTAACCTCAAGTGAAGGACCTAACTTGTCCAGCCCCTAGGCAGGGCAGACAGTAAACAATAAGCCTAGTAAGTAAGTGAATTACACTGTGTGTTAGAAGGTGGTATTACTGTTGTTAGCTGCCATTGAGTCGGCCCGTGATTCCTGGCAACCCCATGCACGACAAAATGAAATACTGCCCAGTCCTGCACTGTTTCCCATGACTGGTTGTGGACCAGGCCGTTGGCTGGAAATCATCAGCTGATTTTCAGAAGTAGATCTCCAGGCCTTTCTTCCTAGTCTGTCTTAGTCTGGAAGTTAAGCTGAAACCTGTTCAGCATCCTAGCAACATGCAAGCCTCCAGTGACAGACGGGTGGTGGCTGCACATGAGGTGCATTGGCCGGGAATCAAACCCTGGTCTCTTGCATGGAAGGTGAGAATTATACCACTGAAGCCCCTTATTCATATTTAGGGACGGATAATTGTTTGTTGTGGGGGACCGTCCTGTTCACTGTAGGCGGTTTAGCAGTATCCCTAGGCTTTAGATGCCTTAGCACTCCCCCTCAGTTGTGATTAACAAAAAAATGTCTTCAGACATTGCCAAATGTCCCGTAGGGGGCAAAATCGCCCCCAGCTGAAAACCATTGCTATAAATGGATGGTCCTTAGGCACAGAGATGGGGCATGTCTTTGCTTACCATAGACCCCAAGGCCTCAAGATGGAGCTTGGATGTAAGAAAAAAAAAAAAAACCAAACCCAAACCCAATGCCATCGAGTTGATTCCAACTCATGGTGACCCCATGTGTTACAGATTGGAACTGCTTGCTCCATAGGGTTTTCCTGGTGGTAATCTTTATGGAAGTAGTTCGCCAGGCCTTCCTCTTGTGGTGCTGCTGGGTAGGTTTGATCTGCCAACCTTTAGGTTAGCAGCCAATCACAAATTGCATGCACCACTCAGGGACATCTGGCACATAGTAGCCACACAATAATTTTTAGTTCGCTGAAAATGAGCCTCCAGCTTTTGAAATGAACTGAACCAAATGATATGGAAAATAAAGGAAAAATTTCACAGGGATGTGAAAGGGCTAAATGAGAACCTATAACTAAAGGTGCTTAAACACAGTAAAACATAGCAAAAAAAAAAAAAAGTTGTCAAGGAGTTGATTCCAACTCATGGTGATCCCATGTGTTTCAAATGCATTCCATAGGGTTTTCAATGGCTGATTTTTCAGAAGTAAATTGCTAGGCTTTTCTTCCAAGTCGCCTCTGGGTGGATTTGAACCACCAACCTTTTGGTTAACAGCCAAGTACTTAACCATTAGTACCACCCAGGGACTCCTTAAACACCCATTACCCTTTGCCATCGAGTGATTCCGACTCGTAGCGACCCTATAGGACAGAGTAGAACTGCCCCATAGAGTTTCAAAGAGCTCCTGGTGGATTTGAACTGCTAACCCTTTGGTGAGCAGCCGTAGCACTTAACCACTATGCCACCAGGGTTTCCCCCTTAAACACAGTAGGTGCTAAATAAATTTCAGCTGTTATAATCACAATTCTTGTCCAACCTGATTCCCATACTAAGGGGTTCTCACCTCCTAGCCAGGAGACCTCCTAAAACAGTTTCACTAACAGACCCACTGAAGAAATTACCAGTTGTCCCCCACTTCTCCCCTCAGTGTAATCGGCCACATGGCCACCAAGAATAAAGGCTACATTTCCCAGCCTCCCTTGCAGCTAGGTATGGTCATGTGACCAAGTTCTGGCCAATGGGATGCAATACTTGCAAGTATTGCCTTGGAGAAGGGAAGAGGTACATTCATGTTCTCTAGTTCATTACTTGCCTCCTTCCCTCTCGCTGGAAAGCAGACATAGTTGGGGGCCATCATGGACCACGAGGACCCAGCAACACCATAAAGAGGGCAGAACAACAAGGTGGCAGGAGCCTGGGTTCCTAACACCAAGAGATGGCTTTTTCAGCCCCAGAATGCTTACACTGAACTCTTACATGAGTCAGAAACAGGCTTCCATCTTACTTAAGCCATTTTTACCTTGGGTCTCTGTTGCAGGAGCTGAACCTACATCTTTTTTAAAAATATATTTTTTTACTTTTGGGGGAAAATATACACAACAACACATACACCACTTCAACAATTTCGACATGTACAATTCAATGACACTGGTTACATTCTTCAAGTTACGTCACCTTTCTTGACAACTTTTCCCAAACTATTTCACCATCATTAACATAAACTCATTGCCCCCTTACGCTTCTCATTTATCCTTTCGAGTTGCTGTTGTCCATTTGATCACACATAAATAATTCTTTAAAAGAGTATAATGCTTAACGCAGCCATTATTTTCTAATTAGGCTAAACTATTATTTGTAGCTGAACCTACATCTTAATTAATACAATCCTCAGCCGCTCCCAGGGTTGGCTAGAATTCCCAAAATCAGGAGAGAATGTAACTGACCTGGGGAAATGGGTCGGCTGATGCCAGCAAAACATTTTCCGGTTTCAAGTCACAGTGGACGATGTTCTTGAAATGAAGGTGTCGCAAAGCCACCAAGATCTGAGAGGAGGAGATGGGGTCAGTAAGAAATGTGCCTGCCCCAGATCCCACCTGCAGCAGCCAGCCCTCCAAGCCCCATCCAAGCCCGTCTCTGTACCCCTAAAGATACCCCCATCAGGGCAGGGGAGGCATTGGAGCACTAAAGAATCTGAGAAACCCCAGAACTGTTTACGCTGAGATGTTAGGACTTGAACGGAAAATTCTAGAAAGGTTAAACTGCAGCAGTTGGGCTGGGAAGATCCTCAGAGACCCTCTGGCACGTGACACACTTCTGATAAAAATGAGCTATTAATAGAACAGGGGCTTTCAAGGAGATGCTACTGTATGTGTATGGTTCAAATTTGTAAAAAACATTTTTCACTCTTGAAAAAGCTGTAACACAAAACAACACACGTACAAATAAGACCTGAGTTATACACCAAACGTAAAGCTCTTCAGGGGTGGGGTGGGGATTCCAGAGCCAGGCTGCCCAGGTGGAAAGCCTGGCTCCCACACTTAATAGCTTGTGGTCTTGGGCAAATCACTTCACCTCTCTGGGTCTCAGTTTCCTCATCTGTAAAATGGGAGTAATAATAGTACCAGCCTCCTAGAGTTGCTGTGAGGTTTAAATGAGTTGATACATGCCATGTGCTTTAGGACAGCGTCTGGCACAGAGCAAACACTGTATGTTAGTGATTATTATCGGTGGTGGCAGTGGTTATTATTTTTGTGATAGCCTGTTGGTGAACATATTCTTATGCATGTCACAAAAAGGCCTCTCCTGCTGTATCTGTTGGAGTCCCTGGGTGGTGCAAACAGTTAATACGCCTGGCTGCTAACTGAAAGGTTGGAGGTTGGAGTCCACCCAGAAGCGCCTCAGAAGAAAAGCCCGGCGGTCTACTTCCAAAAAAATCAGCCATTGAAAACCCTATGGAGCACAGTTCTACTCTGACACATATGGGGTCATCATGAGTCGGAATCAACTTGACGGCAACTGGTTAGGCCGTACCTGTTAATTCAAGAGTATCCTGTGATAGCAAGGTGAACTACTTCAATAAACAAACAAAAACCTGTTACCATCTGTAACCACTTATCTATGGGAATCATGATTTTCCTTGATTCTGTGTAACCCCAACAAAATACCAAATACACTGGAAGCATAGAATGATGTAAGTGTGCAATTCTAATCTGTGTCTTTGAATATGTACATATCCTCACTGTTTTCACTGCCGGAGTTTGGTAAAGAGGTGTCATTTGAAAGCCACTGCTGGAGTCCAACCTCCTCATTCCACAGACAGGGAGATCGAGATCCACAGATCTATGTGTGCATCACAGTCTCCAAGTTTTATGTTTGTTGATTTGTTTTTTTCCTGCAGTTAACATGGTGAACAAAGGGGACAGTTTGGAAGCTAGATAGAACCAGGTTCAAATCTTGGCCAGACTGCTACCTAGCTGGATGATGTTGGGCCAGAGACTCGTAAATCCCCGTGCCTCAGTTTTTCTTATCTATACAATGGGTGTCAACGATACCTACCTCACAGCGTGGTTGTGAGGCCTAAACAAGATCGTGAGGTAAAGGGCTTAGCACAGGACTTGGGGCTGGGGCAGCCAAGAGCCTGGAAAGCAGAAATCTGCAGAGAGAGAGAGAGGAAAGGAGCAGGCTAAAAGAGAAGAAGAGGGAGAAGACCAGAAAGAAAAGTTGTTTCGATTGCTGAAGGTGGTCAGCCCCTCTCTCCACCCAAAGTCTGGGTGAGCCTCCTCAGTGGTCTCTGTCCCCACCCTGCAAGACAGGCTGACAAAGGCAGGCACACTGCTTGGGAGAGTGGCGGCGTTGGGCTTGGGTTAAGGAAGCACAGTACAGGGGACTTTGCAACCAACAGAGATTTTGCAGAATAAGGTGAGGTACCAGCCAGATGGGAAAGTCTTTCTAGGCAGGATGTGAAACCCAGAAGCCATAACATTGTAAAAGTTAAACCCTGTGTGCAAACAAAAGCCATTAACAAAATAAAGAAGCAAACAAATACTGGGATAAAAGAATTGAACAACACAATGACTGGATCTACTGTCTCCCATATACAAAGAGCTCTTACAATTCAATAACAAAAAGAGAATACTCCAACTGAAAAATGGACAAAGGGCACATAAAGCAGAGTGATTCAAAAAGAAATCCAAATGACCAATAAGCATATGAAAATATGGTCAACCTCATCCATAATTTTTAAACTGCCAAATAAAGTGACAAAGAAGTATCATTTTTCCATTGATAGGATTGGCAGTTATTTTTATCTGATGTTGCTGAGGAGTGAGAAAATAGGCACCCTCATGCTCTGTTGGTGGGAGCAAAACTTGAAAAGGATTTATAGAATAAATGGACATCTTCGAAATTTTTTAAAGCACATTTCCCTAGACTCAGGAGTCAACTACTTTGAATTCTCCCACCAGAACACAATGTTTGTAGATAGACGTTCACAGGATGTTGTTTGCAATGGCGGAAAAATGAAAACGACCTACATGTTCAGCAACCAGGGATTTGGTGAAATCCATTAAGGGCTACAATTCAGAAGAAGAGGTAGATCTGCTGTGTACAGAAATGGGACAATCTCCCAGATCTATTGTTAGAATGAAGAAAGTAAGGGACAGAACAACAGACAGTGGTATATATGCCTCAGTGGGTCTCTGTCCCCAGTGAAAATGCACACACACATACATGCACATAGCAAACAGAAAATCTGAGTAGAACACAAACTACTTTGGCATTACTGGTTAGAAGCACAGACAGTGGGTTCAACCCCACCAGCTCTGTAACCTGGGGCAAGTTACTAAACATCTCTGGGCCTCAGTTTCTTCAACTGTAAAGTGGGGATGATACATACTAACAGCACCTACCACATCGACTGCTATCAAGATCAGTGAGTTAAAACAATGCCTGGTGCACAATGACAGCTCAACAAATGTGAGTGACCACTGTCATCATCGTCATCATCATGATCACCCTTCCCCATCCAGTCCCGACCTCTCTGGGTTCTCACTCTCTGGGGACGGGTCTCCCTCACTGGACTGTGAGGCCCAGGAGGGCAGGGCCAGGGCTGTCTCAGTCACCACTGGGTCCCCAGTACTGCCTACCACATGGCAGGGCACAGAGCAGGGGCTCAGGGAATGTTTATTGATTGAACAACCAAATGAATGAATGAATGAACTCCCCACAGAAAGTCCTCTCTCCCCTTTTTCTAGATGAGTGAAGTCAGAGCCATGGACTCTGACTCATCATTTATTATTTTATTATTCTTACTGTCACTCTACTAATATTACTATATTGTGTTTTTATTTGTTTTTTAAGGAGCTCTTGTGGTGCAATGGTTAACAGTCTCTCCTAACGGAAAGGTTGATGGTTCAAACTCATCTAGTGGCTCTGCGGGAGAAAGAACTGGTGATCTGCTCCCACAAAAATTACAGCCAAGGAAATCCTATGGGGCAATTCTACTCTGTCACCTGGGGTCCCGAACAACAACATTGTTATTTTTAAATTATTATTACTCTATTATTTTCTGGAGTCCCTGGGTGGTACAAATGGTTAATACGTTCCGCTGTTAAAAAGTTAGTGGTTCAAGTCCACCCAGAGGTGCTTCAGAAGAAAAATCAGCCATTGAAAACCCTATGGAGTGCAGTTCCACTCTGACACACATGGGGTCGCCATGAGTCAGAGTTGACATGACAGCAAATGGTTTTACTGGCTTATTATTTTCTATTGTTATTACTATGCTATTATTTTTTTCTATTATTATTACTCTATTATTTTTCTCTTGTTATAATTATCACTCTATTTTTCCATTATCATTATTATCATTGTTATTGTTGCCGTGTGCTGTAAAGTCAATTCCGACTCATAGCGACTTCATGTGACAGAGTAGAACGGCCCCATAGGGTTTTCTAGGCTGTAATCTTTATAGGAGCAGACTGCCAGGTCTTTCTCTGGCAGAAGTGCTGGGTGGGTTTGAACCGCCAACCTTTTGGTTAGCAGCTGAGTGCTTAACCATTGCACCACCAGGTCTACTGCTTCTTCTTAATTACTCTTAATGTTTATCCTATTATTTTTTCTATTATTATTATTACTCTTGTTATTTTCCTATTATTATTGTTACTCTATTATTATTTTTCTATCCTCTATCTATCAGATTCCCATCCAGTGTCTGCCTGACCTTCCAGGGGATGTCTACTGGGGAGGGGGGAGCACCAGGGAGGAGGGAGGCAGCGGCAGGGGTTGCACCTGCGTGATGAGGAACTTGGTGAGGCGCTCGGGTAGCCGCCCCTTCTCACTGGACAGGATCATCTCCAACATGTCCCCGTGCAGCTTCTCCATCACCACAAATACCTTCTCAGGCGTCTCGAACATACACTCCAGGTTTACGATCCCAGGGTGCCGTAGGCTCTGGGGGGACAGGGTGGGGTGGTGGTCAGGGCCCAGGTCACTCATGAACTCAGACCCCAGAGAGCAAGTCGTGGGAGCAGGCAGAGGACAAACAAGAAGGAGGACGTTCCTGGGGGATGGCAGCTTCTTCCCTGGGTGGCACTGAGGCAGGGGAAGGGGCTTCCCACAGGCCATGACCTGGGAGGGACCACTCTCCTTGCACCACCTCAGGGCCCAAAGGACCTTTACATCAAGGAATTCTGGGAGGAGGGGAATGGAAGCCTGTAGAAGTAGACAGGAGCCTGGTATATCTGTAACTCCTAAATCCATGTTCTCCTCCTTACTCTCCTGGCCTTGCCCTGACCTAGCCTCTCCTTGGGCTCTGGGCTCCAGTCCCACCCCCTCCCCTCCATCCTCTAGGAGACAGCTAGAGAGGTCTTTCTAAAGCAAATACCTGACCTGACCCTCCCCTGCTCAAAATCCTTCTGTGGCTCCCTAGTGCCCTTGGAGAAAGCCCTCGGAGAAAGGGTCTGACCCCACCCTTCTCTCTGGCTTCACCTCCCACCACTTCCCTGAACTCCTTTAAGTTCCTAGAGCACCTCACGTCCCCTCTCACCTCCAGATATTTGCACAGGCTGGTCCCTCTGCTCAGAACACCTTCTCCTCCCCTTTAGTCGTAACATGCATATTCCCTCCTCCAGGAAGCCCTCCCTGACAACACTCAGGCTAGGTCAGGTGTCCCCTGAAGGGAGGAATCGGGAAGACAGGGCCTTTCCAGGGTGAGGGCAGAGCTGGGGCACAGATCCTGGTGGTCACCTGCAGAATGGCCACCTCGTTCCGGAGCTGGCTCTCCTGCTTGGTGGGGAACCGCAGTTTGTCGATGACCTTTACTGCCACATCCCGGCCTGTCTTCCGGTGCTTTCCTGGGCAGGGGGTAGGGGAGATGTGAGATGAAGGGAGAAGAACCTTCCAGTCCTGCCAAGAGGTACCCCACCCCTCGATGCCCCCGCCACTGAGAACAGCCAGAGTTGGACAAAGGTAGGTGGAAGGCCATCAAGGTGAGTCTGGGGAGGGGGGCGGGCAGGAGATATGCAAGGAACAGGGGGCCCTGGAATTAAAGATGGAACAAAGGAAGATTAAGAACCAATCAGAATCTAGGATTTAGTCCTGTGGCCAATCAGAGTGCAGGGTTTAGCCCCCTCCCTATTAATAACAGATCCCTGCCTGACAGGGAACACAACAGAGAGTCCCTGACAGAGAAGGAGAAAAGTGGGGTACAGAACTTAAATTCTAGTAAAAAGACCAGACTTAATTGTCTGACTGAGACTGGAGGGACCCTGGAAGACATGGCCCCCGGAATCTCGCTTAGCCCAGAAGTGAACTATTCCCGAAGCCAACTCTACAGACAAAGATTAGACTGGACTATGGGATGTAAAAAACGATACTCGTGAAGAGTGTGCTTCTTAGCTCAAGTAGATACATGAGACTAAATGGGCAGCTCCTGTTCGGAGGCGAGATGAGAAGGCAGAGAGGGTCAGGAGCTGGTTGAATGGACATGGGGAATCTGGGGTGTAAAGAAGCATGCTGTCACATTATAGGGAGAGCAGCTAGGGTCACATAGCAATGTGTGTATAAATTTTTGTATGAGAAACTGACTTGAACTGTAAATTTCCTTAAAGCACAATAAAAAATGAATAAATAAATAACGGAGCCCTGGTGGCACAGTGGTTAAGTACTCGACTGCTAAACAAAAGGTTGGCAGTTCGAATCCCCCAGCCGCTCCTTGGAAATCCTATGGGGCAGTTCTACTCTGTCCTATAGGGTTGCTATGAGTCGGAATCAACTCGATGGCAATGGGTGTTTTTTTTTTATTAATAACAGGAAAAAGTACACTGGTTTTTCCCAGTGATAAAAGGAAATCCTGCAACCATCTGCGCCAAAGATCTAGCTTTCTAAACTAGTTGCCATCAAGTCGATTCCAACTCATGGTGACCCCATGTGTGTCAGAGTAGAACTGTGCTCCACAGGGTTTTCAATGGCTGACTTTCTGGAAGTAGATCACCAAGGCTTTCTTCCAAGGTGCCTCTGAGTGGACTCGAACCGCCGACCTTTCAGTTAGCAGCCAAGTGCTTAACCATTTGCACCACCCAGGGTCTCCTAGCTTTCTAAGCCAATCTAAACAGGAGGTGTGAGCATGTGGCCAATCAGTACTGAAACTGTGGAGCTCAGAACAGCTTCTGCGGCCCCCAGGGTCCCCTCTGGGCCAGCTCTGAAGCGCTCTTAGTTCCTACCTCCGTAGACCACTCCAAACTGCCCCGAGCCCAGAACCTCGTCCGGAAAGATCTGGTAGACAGTGGCGATGTCCTGGGGGGTGGGGACAGGGAGGGTCAGGGTGCACGTGGAGATAGGGGAGGGGTTGAGGAGATGGGGGAGGGCTGGGGAGGTTGTGTGCATGGGAGGGGAGGGCCTCTTGGGTCCATGGGGTGTGGGCAGGGATCTCACCACATTCTCTTGGATCTGACTGTTGGACACAGAGATGCTCAGAGAAGCTTGTCCTGGGGAGAGGGAAGAGGCGGAGGTGAGGGTTGGGCACAGCATTATCTTCCCCCATAATTTCAGAGGCAGCCCTTGGAGCCAGACCACCTGGGTTCAAATCCAGGTGACACAATGTGGGACTTCAGGCTAGTGACTTGTCCACTATGAACCTCAGTTTCCTCATCTGGACAATGGGGATAATAAAAGGATGGGAAAAAAATCAAACGGCCCTCGTAAGGCCATTGGGAGGACTAGGTAAGATGTTCTAAGGGCTCAAGAAGTGATGTCATGAATGATTTCTTTGAGCACTTCAGCAGCAAGGGAAGCATGCTGGTCCCATTTGACAGAGGAGGAAACCGAGGCTTGGGGGGAAAGTCCAAACTGACCTCAGCATCTTCCCCTAAACTTGTCCCCCCAATTAACCCATACAAAGCTGGACATCTGAAAAGTCCTTATCCTTCTGCCATTTGAACGTCTCTCCCCTCCTTCCCTTCCCCATCCCCACAGCCTGGTCCTGCCGCAGCCTCCTCCCTGGTCTCCCAGCCCCAGCCCTGCTCCCTTCACTCTCCACAGGGAAGCCAGAGGCATCTTGTTGACACACAACCCTGCCTCTGCACCTCCTCTGCTCATAATCCTGCCATGGTTCCTCAATGCCCTTGAGAAGAAGTCCAAGTGTCTTAAATGGCCTAAAAGGCATAGTCAGGCCCCTTATCTACCTCGTCATCACCTACTATTCTGCGCTCCTGACACACTGGCCTCCTTGCTGGGCCTCAAATGCAGCAAGCTCTCGCTGACCTGCCGGCCTTTGCACTAGCTGTTCCCTCTGCCAGGAATGCTCTTTCCCTCATTCTGGACTTGGCTAAATCCTCCCCACCCTTCAGTCTCAGCTCAAATGTCACCCTGGGGCCATGTCAGAGGACTCTATAAAATGTTCTACATCACACTTGTTGTTTGTATAGAATGCTCTGACTAACATCTGTCACCCACACTGAGTTATGAGCCCCAGAGGGTGAGAAGCTGGCCTTCTCTGATCATCCTTTGCCTCTGCATGATGTGACTCCCCATGTGTTTTCCCCTATTGCACCTCTCCTCATCCTCCAGGTCTCAGCTCAGATATCACCTCCTCCAGGAAGTCCTCCTTTGACTGCTGTGCTTGGAAAAGGAGATCCTCTGGCTCCGCTCATAGAGAGGGGAGGAGAAGGGCAGTTCGGAGGTAGACTTAAAGTTAGAGAGGGGGCTATAGGGGTGGGGTCAGGTGGGGCGGGACTAAAGCAAGAGAAGGCTGGGGTTTAGGAGCTTAAGGAGGAGATGAGGCTGGGCCCAGCTGGAGTAAGGCCAGGCAGGGGAGGAGCTAGCCAGGGGGCAGGAGCAAAGCTAGAGGAAGGCTGGGTTTAGGGGGTAGGGTTAGGTGGAGGTGAGGCTGGGCCCAACCAGGGCAGGGCCAGGCAGGGGCAGTGCTAGAGTCAGGGGCAGAGCTGGCTGGCTTCCTTGGCCCAGCCCTGCCCACTCTGGGTGGTTACTGTTTGGGGGTGGGTCTGTCTCCTCCACTGGGGTATAAGCCCTGAGAGGGCAAGCCTGGGGCTGTGTCAGTCACCACTGGGTCCCCAGCACTGCCCAGCACAGGCTGAGCACAGAGGAGGCGCACAGAAAATGCATGAATTAAAATGTTCCTCTCTCACTGAGTGTACGTCAGTGGGGGAGGAACAACTCAGAAAAGGAGGGTGAGAATGGCTACACAAGTCCAAGAACGCAATCAATGGCACTGAATTGTACATGAAGAGACTGTTGAACCAGTGTATGTTCTGCTGTGTATATTCTCAACAACAACAACAAAACTATTTTAAATTAAAAAAAAAAAGTTCATCTCACAGTTTGGAGGAGGAGTCGTCGCCTGCAACAAGACTTGGAGAGGGAAAGTGACAAGCCTAAGGCCACATAGCAGGTCAGGAGCCTAATGGAGACTTGACCCAGGTCTGCTGACTCCAGAAGCCATGCTCTTAACCTGACTTCCCCTGCCCCCCTCCCAGAACCCCTGCCCCAGCCCTCCCAGCCTACCCTCTCAGGCACCCAGGGTGGAGACTCACTGTGGGGTGTGTGGCCTGGGGCACGGGGTGCGTCCTGGAGGATGATGGGCATCAGAGCTTGACGGATGGCCATCTCCCAGCCCCGGGCTGCCTCAGCCCCTTGCCCACTTGGCCCCCCTGGGGCCCCGCCAGGTGTCTCGCCCACGAAGTAGGTGGCATTGGCAGTGACGATCTCAAAGCAGTGGGGGTTGGTGCCCGGCGGCACGAGGCTGAAGTTCTGGGCAGACTCTATGGCGAGGATTTCCGACAGTGGAATCTCCTGGCAGGACATGGAGCCAGCGTGGTTGAGGGCGCCAGGCAAACCCTGTGGCTCCCCCCACCTAACTCGGAGGAGCCCACAGGGTCTAGTCAGTGAAGAAAGGCCTGGATGGCACAGGGTGGTCAGGAAAGGCCTCTTGGCAGACGTGGCATTTAAGCAGACTAGAAAAGTAAGAAGGGGCCATCTGGCACAGGAGTGGAGGGAACACCATGTGCAAAGGCCCTGCGGTGAGGAAGGCTGTTTGTGTTCAGAGGATATGCTGTGTCCCTATCAGCGGGATGGTGGCTGGCACACAGTAGGTGCTCAATAAATGTTTGATGAATACATGAAGGAAAGGAGGTTAGGGTCAGGTCATGCAGGGTCTCATGGGCCGCAGGGATGGGCCTGGGCTTTGTCGCGAGGGCCCTTGGGAGCCACAGAAGGGTTTTGAGCAAGGGAGGGCAAGTCCCTTTGGCTCTGTGTGGAGGGTAGATAGGAGAGAACAAGAGTAAAGTAGCAGACCCGAAGGAGGCTGGGTGGGACTGGGGGGAGAGAAAAGAGTATGCTTTGAAAAGTACTGAAAGAGAAAGAAGAAAGAAAGAAAAGAGAGGAAAAAAGGAAGAGAGGAGAAGGAGGGTGGAAGGGAAGGAAGGAAAAGAGAGAAAGAACGACTGAGCGACTTCTGTACCCCAAAAAACCAGGTGATGAGATAGAGAACTGGGGGGTGGGGATGGCATCTGTGGTTTGAGCACCACAGAAGGAGAAGGAACCACCGGGCCATGGGAAACTCTCAGGAAGACTCTCCAGGGAGAGGGAACAGAATGTGCAAAAGCTGTGGGGTGGGGAGGTACTTGGTGGGTTCAAGGCACAGTTGGCTGGCAGTGGGGCTGCGACAGAGAGAACTAGGATGGGAGGAGGGAGGAAATCAGCTCAGAGTAGTGTTCGAGACCCAGAAGGCCTAGAGATAACAGCGAGGGCTCTGAGTTGTATTTGAAGGGCAATGAGGAGCCATTGGAGAGGTTTTTTTTGTTTTTTTAATTACAGTTTTATAATGACTCCTCTGGCAGCCAAGTGGGAAACAGAATGTGGAGGCGAGGGCAGACAAGGATCCAGGAAGGGGGCTGCTGCAAGTGCCCAGGTGGGGGATGGTGGCTGGGACACAGTGGTAGCATTGGAGGTGGTGATAAACACCAATTAGGAATTCAAGAAAGTAACTGAAAAGAAATAATGGCAGTAGGTTCATAATTACTGGGTGCTTAATGCATTGTAGGCCTTAGGCTAATTGCTTTACCTGGATTCGCTCTGCGTCCCCACAACAGCCTTATGAGGTGAGTGCCACCATTGGAAGCATTTGAGAGTTGACAGACGTGACTGAGGCACAGAGAGGTGACAGAGCTTGCCAGGGTGGGAATCAAGCAGGTGGCAGGGCAGCCATAGGGGTGGTTTGGGTTAGGTACCTGAGGGTAAGGGAGAAGGAGGGTAAAGAGGGGAGATCTGGGGGAGCCGGCCCAGGAAGGCTCACCTTGTAGTATCTGTTGGTGGTGTTGTTCTGGAAGAGGGTGATGCACTTGGAGTCCAGCCGCCAGTAGTGCCGCTTCCTCTGTGGGGAGGTGATGGAGAGGGTGAGGGCTGACCAACCCTCAGGCTGTTCCGAGACTGCTTGGGGCTCCTGGGGCCTGAAGGACCCTGTGCACAGCCCAGCCTTCCCCTGGCCAAGTCCCCCCTACAACTCTAGCTCTGCCCCCACCTGGCCCCGCTCCAGCTGGACCCAGCCTCAATTCCCCCTTAAGCCCATCCCCTAAATCCCAGCCCTCCGATCACTTTAGTCCCGCCCCTCTAACTCTAGCTCCGCCCCACCTGGCCCCTGCCGAGCTAGGCCCACACTCATCTGCACCTAACCCCATCTCCCAAACCCAACCTTCCTCTAGTTTTAGTCTCGCCCCGCCTAACTCTAGCTCCACCCCTGCCTGGCCCAGCCCCAGCTGGGCCTAGCCTCATTTCGCCCTAAGCCCATCCCCTAAACCACAGCCCTCCTCTCGCCTTAGTCCCGCCTCTCTAACTCCAGCTCTTACCTCACCTGGCCCCGCCCCTACAACCCTGTCTCTAATTTTAGGAAACACTGGTGGAGTAGTGGTTAACAAGCTGCTAACCAAAAGATCGGCAGTTCGAATCCACCAGGCGCTCCTTGGAAACTCAATGGGGCAGTTCTACTCTGTCCTATAGGGTTGCTATGAGTCGGCATCGACTCGACGGCAACGGGTTTGGGTTTTTTTGATTTTCCAGCCAGTCCTTCTCCCCTCTATGTGCCTGTAGCCCCGCCCCACCCTTATCTCCAGCCCCGCCCAGATTTGGCCCCACCACTACAACCCCTTCCCTCCTCTCCCTTCAGCTTCACCACCCCTGGCCCTGCTCTTATATCCCCTTCCAACAACAACAACAAAAACCCGCCAACTGGATTCTGACTCACAGGGACCCTATAGGGCGGAGTAGAACTGCTCCGTAGTTTCCAAGGAGCGGCTGGTGCATTCGAACTGCCGACCTTCTGGTTAGCAGTCGAGCTCTTAACCACTGCGCCACCAGGGCTCTACAGCCCCTTGGGTTACCTCTAATTCGGCCTCCCTCCTAGCCCAGCCCAACCTGGTCCCTATCCCGATGACCTCAACTCTCCTGTAGCTTTAGTCCCACCCCCTCCCTGACGCTGCCTGCGCCCCACCTGGGCCTGCCTCTCCCCTAAACTTGCCTTAGCCCCGCTTCTCCTCTAACTCCTGCCTGGTCCCGCAACTGGTCCCACCCTTTTAACTGACCCCTCTAATTCTAGCTCAGTGTCCAGCATGGCCCCGCCCACTCTAACCAGTTCCACTCCCCAACTAGCCCCTGCGCCTTCTCAAACTAATCCTGCCCCCTTAACTCTAGCTCCGCCCCACGGGTCCCATCCCCTGTGGCCTCAACCTCCCTCTAACTGTAGCCCCGCCCCCTCTCCAACTCCAGCTCGGTCGGCCTGGCCCCGCCCCCCCACGCACTTACCAGCGTGTCCTTGCTGCTGTAATGAACCACCCACCCCTCGCGCAGCGTTGTGCTGGATTTCCGTGTTGTGTGTCGCACAGACTGCACCACCCTCATCAGGGGGATATACCCCAGGGAGCTGGGGAGGGAGGGAAGGGACAAGAAGTCACATGCAGAAAATGATCACTGGCACCTGGAGCCGCAGGGGACACCTCTGGGCAGTTGCAAAAAAGTTTGCCACACACTTCCCCCTCCCCCTCGCCCCCCGTCCCCATGCGGTTTCCAGATTTCCCACAGTGAGGGAGGGGTCTCTTTAGGGGGCGAAAATGAGAATCTGGATTGCCAAGTCATTGCCTGTCAGGTCCTTGGGGATATCTTCTCTACTCCGTTGTACAGGCAAGGGGACTGGTTTAAGGCCATTCAAGTCAAACAGAGGCCAAAATGGTTGAAAGAAAAGGATATTATTTTCCTTTCTTTATAAGATTTTAGTGCTCTCTGATTAATAAGAGGTAACACTCATTTAACACTTACTGCGTGAGGCACTCTTCTAGGTACCTAACTTGTATTCAAGTAATTCTGACAACATCCCTGTACTGTAGGTACTACCTGGTGGCGTAGTGGTTAAGAGCTACGCTGCTACCCATAAAAGTCAGCAGTTCAAATCCATCAGGTGCTCCTTGGAAATTCTATGGGGCAGTTCTACTCTGTCCTACAGAGTCCCTATGAGTCGAAATCGACTCCACGGCAATGGCTTTGGAGTTTTTGGTTTACAGGTCGTCCCGACTTCCGACATTCGAGTTACTCCGAACTGCACTTAACCACCTGTTTTTTTTTCTTACATCTTATCGTTAGTAATATGTACTGTACTACACACAATGTTGCAATGCATGATTTGCTAACGTTATCATTCTCAGATGTTCACCCGCAGATGTTTAAAGATCAGATTTATAAAGATATTGATAACAAAAGGCAATAATAATGAAAACTTAAAAAAAAAAAAGTATTGGATTTACATCAGAACTGAATTACGACAGAGTCACCGGAATGGAGACTATCTGTACTTTGTCCCCATTTTATTGATGAGGACACCGAGGCTCAGAGAGATTAATATCTTAGGGCCACACAGCAGCCTGGTTCCATAGTCCATGTTCTTACTCTTTATACTGTCATTGTGCAATACAGAATGTTTCTAGAAGGACCCAGAAACCAGCCCTAGTGGTTTCCTCCAGGGAAAGAAGCTGGGTAACTAAGAAACAGGGAATTGGAGGGATTCACTATATATCTTTGGAATGACTGTATTACCAGCTTCAAAAAAGACATACCATATAAATTAAAATATACCTCTATAAAAAAATATTTTAATATAAATTTGGAAAAAAGCCAAAATTAAAAATTGTGGTGCTTTCTGGGAACCCAGAAATTTTATAAATATAAAGTGATGTCATCCCATGGTAGAGATGGGGAAGTTGAGGCTCAAAGTAGGGAAAGATCTTCCCCCGGGGTCACCAGAGGGTGCTGTGGGTACCTCTGTGCCTTGCCTCCCTCGCCTTCTTCCTCCTCGCTGGCATGCAGGGCATTTTCCGAGTGGGAGCCGGGGATGATACCGGAGTCATCTGACTCATCCATGAGGACACTCTTGTCAGCCTCGCTAAAGTCGGTGGCCTCCTCCATTGGCACATCTAGGGGGGCAGGGACTTCAGAAGGGCCTTCACCCAATCCTGTGCCTCCCCACTTCCCTCTCAAGCCCCCCAGCTCTTACCTCCATTGATAAGTGCCTCCCCCAGACAGTCATTAGGGACACGAGTAGCACAGCGTTTGTGACAGTTAAACTTGCAATCTGGTAGAAGGACAAGTAGCAGGGGGATGGGTGGGAGAGGGAAGAGAGATCACCTATAAGGGTTGAATGTTAACCCCTAACCTCCAGGCTCAAAAGGGTCTGGATCAGGAAATCTGGCTGACCCTTCTCTGGTCACCCCCCCTCCCCTTTGAACCACAGTTTACTCAACTGTGTAGTGGGAAGGCTACATTCAGTCTTTGACCCTAAAGCCTCATGACTCTAAGGTTCTAAAGTTCTAACAATGTATGTTTCCACCATCCTGGACTTCTAAAATTCTAGAATGTAATGGGTTCTACATGCTATGATTCTAGACTTTGAACACTCTAGAGCAGGGTTTATCAACCTTGGCAGGATTAACATTTTGGTCCTGACAATTCCTTGACAGACGGTTGTTCTGTGCTCTGTAGAATATTTAGCAGAATCCCTGTCCTCGACCCACTCAAGGTCTCCAAGTCTGACAACTAAAAATATCTCCAAACATTACTGATATCCCCTGGGGTAGGCAAAATTATCCCTGGTTGAGAACCACGGCTTCAGCGTTTGATGACTCTAATAAGGACACTATGTATCAGAGATTCTAGAGCTTGATGAAAACCCATTTTTCTAAGGTTCTGTGATTCTAGACTTATATGACTCCAGAATTCTGTGGGTTCTGTTCCTAGAACTTTACATACCTATGATTCGAGAATTTGAAGATTCTGCAGTTCTATGATTCTAGACTTGGGAGACTCCTTAATGTCCAAGGTTTTAGGATTTTATAAATCTAAATGCCAGAGTTCAGTGATTCTACAGTTCTATGAATCTAGACTTCTGAGCCTACAGAATTCATTGGAGGTTTCTATGGTTCTTTAGTTCTAGACTTTAGTTCTGTTCTTCTAAGGTTCTAAAATTTGGGGATTCCAAGGAATTCTAGACCTGGATCATTCTAACCCAATTATTAGTCTAGACTTTTGGTATTCTAGAACTTGACAGTTTGAAGTTCTGGGATTACAGATGCCTAGGATGTAGGATTCAAGAGTTTGATAATTATATGATTCTAGACTTCTAAGACTCAAATTTGATGCTTCTAGGTGTCTATTATTTTCAAATCTTATGATTCTAAAATTCTAATGTTCTGAAATTCTATTATTCTGTGGTTTTGTTTGCTGAATTCTATGATTCCAGAGTTCTTAAATCTTATGTTTCTAAGGTTCTGATTCTAGAACACTCAGGTTTTACTGTTTTGGAATTCCATGCTAAGTGTTTTCTGAGCACAGGATTCTAAAGTTCTAGGATTTGAACGTTCTAGAACTCCAAGGTTCCCGTGACTGAGGTTCTAGGAATCCAGGATCCCAAAGGCTACAAAGAGCCATGGGCAGTCCCCTTCTTAGATTTTGTCCCCCACAAGCCCCGTTGAGGTCCTAAGGCTCCGAGTAGGGGTTCTGACCCTGCCTGACCTCCCTGTCCGGGCCCCGCTGACCTTTGCACTGCAGGCCCTGGCGGAAGAGGCCCTTGAGGAGTTTCTTGCAGGCCTGGCAGACAGTGGGCCTCGTGTAGCTGTGGATGAGGAAGGTATGCGGCACCTTGACCTTGGAGAGCAGCATCTTGTCCAGCTCGATGGGGCGGCCCGTGTAGGATGAGGCAGAAGATGAGGAGGAGGACGAGGGGGGGCGGCGGGCCAGGAGTTCAGTGGTGCTAACGCTCTATCCATCAGAGAGAGTGAAAGGGGCGTATCAGTGTGTTGCCCCCATGCCTGGAACCCGTCACCCCACAGCCCCATTAGCCAGCCTCTCACCAGCTCGTCGGTCAAGCAGGGCAGGGACTCAGAGGTGCCTAGGCGCACCGAATGGCCACTGGCTAGAGATGTGGATGACAGGCGCCGCTTGCGGGCCCCACTGCAGTTGTTGGGGATGCTGAAGGCACAGCGCTTGTGGTAGTTCAGCCCGCAGCCTGAAGGGGGAGCCAGATAGTCAAAGAAACAGCCTCCGCCCCCTCCCAGGCCCTCTACCCGGCCGCGCTCCAGCCCTATCCAAGCCCGACCCCTCCCATGCCCATGAGACACTACCAAACCAAACCCATTGCCGTCAAGTAGATCCTGACTCATAGCAACCCTACAGGACAAGGTAGAACTACCGCGTACGTTTTCTAATAAGTGCGTGGTGGATTGGAACTGCTGACCTTTTGGTTCGCAGCCAAAAAGCCTTACCACTATACTACCAGGGTTTCCTGAGATGCTATACTCCACCCCCCCCACCTTAAATCTATCAATCCCTATGCCCCGCCCCAACCCTCTCGGAGTCCTGCCCCTTGTTCGGGTTTGCAGGCCCGCCTCCACCCCGAGGTGCTTCACCACTTTACTCTCCAGGAAACACTGCCCCCCAGTCCCTGCAATGTGCCCCTTTCCCCTCCCCTTCCCATCCCACAAGAGAAGGCCTCCTTTCATCTCCAAAGTTTGCCCTGAAATTCTGCCCCCAGCCCCACCCCTCTATTCCACCCCAGAGACTCCAGTCCACCTCGCTAGAGATCCTGTTCCTCCTGCCTCCGCCTCAAATTCCACCACTTCCTTTCCTGAGGCCACCTTGCTCCCGCCCACCCTTCCTTCCCAGCCTCAACTCTCCAAGAGCAACCTCTTCTCCTTAGTCCCACCTCTGCAAAAGACCACCATGGCCCCCTCCAGTTTATCCCATCCTTTTGCCCACACCTCATCCACTCACCCCTCCAAGATTCACAGCCCCACCCCCTACATCCCTCCAGCTCCAACCCTCCACCCTTTCTCCCTTTCTGTGGGTCTAGAATACAGGCGATCCCTAGGGCATCTTTTAGTACTACCACGTCTTGTGATTAAAGTCAATGGAAAACTATAAATTTAAAAAAAAAAAATTTCAGGCAGAACTGCTAATGGCCCAGACCCTTTAAGAATAAAAGTTTGGGTCACCCCACCAGGCAAGGAACTAAGACCAGCTGAGGTGCTTGCTGAGGGCAAAGGGCACATAGAATGGATAGTGAAAAGGTAATTATAAATACTAGCTACAATCACATGACCAGCTGCAGAAATAAGGACTGTAAGAGTTGAGTATTTCTTTCTTATTTTGTTATGAAATTTTGTATGTGTACAAGATATATTGATAATAAACCTGTTGCCCTCAAGTCAATTCTGACTCATGGTGAGCCCACATGTTACAGAGTGGAACTGCCCCATAGGAGTTTTTGTGGCTGTAATCTTTAAGGCTGGTGGGTTTACAGCCTTGGAAACCCTATGGGCCAGTTCTCCTCTGTCCTTATAGGGTCTCTATGAGCCGGAATCAACTGGATGGCAATAGGTGGGTTTATCTTTTTGGAAGCAGACTGCCAGGATTTTCTTTCACGGCACTGCTGGGTCGGTTCGAATCGCCAACCTTTAGGCTAGCAGTCCAGGGCAAATCATTTGCGCCACCCAGGGACCATATTATTAACAGTTAGCCTTATATCACAGTACAGGTAGTCCCCGACTTAGAACGTATTCAAGTTAAGACAAATCACATTTACTACCGTCCTTTTGTTGTACATCTTATCGTTAGTAATATGACTACATACAATGTTGCAGCATGTAATTTGCTAATGTTATCATTCTCAGATGTTCACTCGCAGATGTTTGAGTTATGATTTATAAAGATTCTGACAATAAAAGGCAATAATAATGAAAACTAAAAAAATGAGGTATTCGACTTATGTCAGAACTGATTTATAACGTAGTCGTTGGAACGGAACCCTGTCATAAATCGGGGACTACCTGTATAAATTACAGGATATTAAAGGAGAAGGGTGAACATCACCCAAGGCCTTTGCAGCCTCTTCTGCAGAAAGGCTTAGCGTGTTTTCGGTTGTACTCAGGATACAGCTGTATCATATTAGGTAGAAGTATGACTTTGTTATTGTCTTTATTTGGAGATTAAATCTGATTTAAGTGTATGGTTGCCAAGTTGACAAGGGGTGGACTTTTATGTGTCAACTTGGCAAGGCTAGAGTCCCCCGTTATTCAATCAAACACAAATTTAGGTGTTGCTGTGAAGGTATTTTGCAGACGAAATTATCCAGTTAAACTGGGTGGGATTGATTCAATCAACTGAAGGGTTTTAAGAGGAGAGCTGAGATTTTCCAGATGAAGAAATTCCTCCTGTGGAAGCATTCTCAGCCCATGACCTAAGAGGTCCAGTCTACCCTTGCTGACGGCCTGCCCTTCAGATTTCAGACTTGCTCACGATCATGTATGCTAATATCTTACAATAAATCTCTTAACATATATCTTCTAGTCCCTCTACTACTAGCAGAAATGTTGGCGGCTGGAACTCACCTAGAGGGCTCTGGGAAAACAGCCCTGGCCATTTCCTACTAATTGTTTCTCTGGTTGAACCATGACTGATACAGGTACCCTCTCTAGCACTGCCCCTCCTTCCCCATCTCCACTTTATCTCGCTCTCCAAGCTCCACCTCCTATGCCCCGCCCCTCCAGTCCTGAGCGCTTCCCAGGCCCCGCCCCCACCTCTTGGTCCCTCCTCTTCCACCTTCACTAGCTCTAAGTGCCGCCCCTTAGACACACCTCCAGCACTGCCCCTCCTCTCTGAAGCTCTGTCCCTGGGTCCCCACCTCTCCCTCTCAACTCCCTCTCCCAGGCTCCACCCCTCCGGCCCTGAGCTCTGCCCCCGGCCGGGTCCCCAGCAGCAACCCCGTCAGCCCCGCCCCCAGCTCCCCTTCATGCCTCACCATCGCACTTGAGGCCCTGGCGCACCAAGCCGAAGAGCATCTCGCCACAGTGGTCGCAGAAGGCGGGCGCTCGGTACGAGTGCACTGTGAGGGCGTGCGGGCGGATCTGGAAGTCCTCGAAGGTGGCCGAGGCTGCAGGCGGGCAGCAGGGAAGGCGGATAGTGGGGCTGGTCATAGGGGTGGCCAGGCCCGAGCAGTCTCAGCTCCCGTGTGCCCTGGTTACCCACCACAACTCCATACAGTCAAGGTCTCTCACAGTCCTCACAAGGGATATCTAACAAATACACACTGACCCCTACTATGTGCCAGGCACTGTTCTAGGCGGTGGGGCACTGCATAGAACAAAAGAGACAAACTCCCCGCTTCCCGGGGGCTTACGTTCTACCAAGAAAGACAGACAAAAAGCCTTTACTCTGAGCCAGGCACTTGACACAGATAGGTTAAGTGATCTGCCCAAGGTCACACAGCTAGCAAAAGTGGCAAAACTCTGATTCAAATCCAGGCCAATCTGGCTGCAGAGATCACACTCTTAGCACTGTACTTAATGCCTTTTGAAAACGTTAAGACGGTAAGTGCTAACAAGAAAATTTAAGCAGGGAAAGGAGATAGGGAAATAGGTGCTTGGGGAGGGCCTCCTGGAGGAGGTGACATTAAGGCAAAGACCAGAGGAGGGAAGGGTATGAGCCATGCAGGTGTCTGGGAAAAGAGCTTTCTCAGCATCATCACACTGTATCCCTATAGACTTTTTTTTTTTTTAGCGTAAAATAATTAATATATGGAGAGTAATTAAAACAGTGCCTGGCGCATAGAAAATGCTCAACAAATGTCAGGTATTATTTTAAAACAAGGAGCCCTCGTGACACAACGTTTAAGTGCTCTGCTGCTAACTGAAACATTGGAGGTTTGAACCTGCTCAGCTGCTCCACAGGAGAAAGACCTGGCAATCTGCTCCCATAAAAATTAAAAAACAAACAAACAAAACACCCCATTGCCACCAAGTCTATTTCAATTCATAGTGACCCTGTAGGACAGAGTAGAACTGCCCCATAGGGTTTCCAAGGAGCAGCTGGTGGATTCAAACTGCTGACCTCTTGGTTAGCAGCTGAGGTCTTAACCACTGCACCACGGGGGCTCCCCCATAAAGATTACAGCCTAGAAAACCCTATGGGTCAGTTCTACTCAGTCACGTGGGGTTGCTATGAGTCAAATATCCAGTCAACAGCACCCAACAACAACTATTTTAAAACAGTTTCATTTTTGGATTAGGTCTCATTTCTCTCTCTTTCAAAATTTCCTTCTATTATTAAGCTATTTTTATTAGCATTATTCAATGGGAAGGAAGTTCTCCTCCAGATGTCAAGCACTGTTCAGCCACTCGGGATAAAGCAATGAATAAGACAGACACACACCCTGCTCTCAGGGAGCTGACATTTTTGGGAGGAGACAGACAAGAACCATAAACACATAAATAAACAAGGAAATTTCAGAGAGTGCTAGATGCTGTGAAGAAAATCAAATCAGTGTGATAATACAGAACATGACCAAGAAGTTGGTGACTTTTGGTAGGGTGATCAGGGAAGGCTACTCTGAGGAAATGACATTTGAGCTGAGATTCAAAATAAGGAGGAGCCAGCTGTGACAAAACTGGGCGGGGGGGGGCGGCATCTCAGGTTGGGAGAACAGCACGTGCAAAGGCCCTGAGGTAGGAGGGAGCTTGGTTTGTTCAAGGGACGGAGGCCAGGCAAGCATGGCTGGAACAGAGAAAGTAAGGAGGAGAATGTTAAGAGATCAGTTGGGGGAACTGGCAGGGGCCAGATCATGTAGGGCTCTGAGGTCATGCTGAGGAGTTTACATTCTACTCCAAGGGCAATGGGGAGCCATGGGAGGACTCTGAGCAGTGGAGTGTGATGATCTGACTTAAATGCTACTGCAATTGTCTAGGCAGGAGGTGATGGTGGCTTGAATCAGCAGGCTTGGTAAGAAATAAATTCCGGATGTATGTTAAAGATAAGGTTTGCTGATGGATCAAGTGAGGGAATGAGAGAAAAAGAGGAGTCAAGGGTGCACCAAGATTTGGGGCCTGAGAACCCCAGTGAATGGTGACACCCTTCACTGAAGTGGAGAAGGCTATCGGAATAGCAAGGAGCCCTGGTGGCACAGTGGTTAAGCACTCAGCTGCTAACTGAAAGGTCAGAGGTTGAAACCCACCAGCCAGTCCACGGGAGAAAGATGCGGCAATCTGCTTCCATAAAGATTCCAGTCTTGGAAACCCTATGGGGCAGTTCTACTCTGTCCTATCGGGTCGCTATGAGTCGGAATCAACTTGATGGCAATGGGTACAGGAAGGGCAGGTTCAGAAGGAGAAAGTCAAGAAGAATTCTGTCTTGGACAGGCCATATCCGAGATGCCTATTAGATGCCAAGTGAAGCTGTCAGGGAGGGTTTAGAGGAGAGACCAGGATGAAGATAAAGATTCTACCTACAGGAGAGTATTTACAATTTAGAGGTCACCAGGGGGGTAAATCCAAACTTTTGTCATTCAACAAATTTTACTGAGCATGTCCGTATGCATGGGAGATACAACTATGAATAAAACACATACAAACCCCTCCACCACCTGCCTTCATGAAAGGACCAAAGGCTGTAGACGCTTAGCACTGTATTTACTAAGTGACAAACCAAGCTCCCTCCTACCTCAGGGCCTTTGCACTTGCTGTTCTCTCAATTCTAAGGTGCTCAGAACTTTCCTATCTATAAAATGGAAATGGTGGGTGGGTGAATCAGATTTTGGCTGCACATTAGAATCACCTGGGGAGCTTCGATAACTGGCAGTTGAAACCAGTCCCCAGGCAATCCCTTCCTGCCCACCCCCCACCCCAGTCTCCATCTTCCCCAGAGGTAGACTCCTGCCTTCTAACACCACAGAGTAATTTTGCCAGTCTTTTGTGCTTTATAAATGAAATCACATATGTAATCTGGTGTCTTAGCTTCTGCCCCTCAGCATTATGTTTTGAACCTTTTGGTCAGCAGCCGAACGCTTAACCACTGTGCCACCAGAGTGGGCCTCTGAACTTTAAGAAGAAAGTTTCTGACTCCAACTCAGTCCTGATGCCCCGCCCCCACCCGAGGCCCCGCCTCTCGGCGGGCCGCGGAGTCTCACCCGATAGCACCACCTCCACCAGGTCGCCCTCCTGGATGTCACCCGCGGAGCGCACCAGCTGCAGGAGGTTGGCTGACGTGGGGTCATGTTTGAAGAGCAGAATCTTGTCGTAAAGGCCGTAGAAGCCACACTCAGGAAACTAGGGTGCGGGAGAGGGAGGTAGCAATGGAGAAGCTCTGAGCTGCCTTCAGCAATGGACTGGAATACTACCAGGGCACGGCTGGCTGTTTCCCCCGGAAACTCAGAGACCCCAACCCTCGCTTCCTGCCAGCCTCCTCCCAACCCCAGCTCAACCCTGGCAGGATGCCAGCACCCCAGGTGTGCTGGGAGAGAGATCTGGCAGGAGTTTGGGGGCTGGACTGGCATGGTGGGTTGGAGTGAGGGTACCCCCGGGAGCGTGGACACCTGGATTTTTTCCGCAGCTTGGGAGGGTGAGGCTAAGTGAGCACCCCCTTCCCTATCCACCACCTTCCCACCCCAGCTTCCTTCCGGGATCTATTGTTTTCCCTGTTACCTGGCTCCAGGCCCAGCACTGGGGTGGGACGAGCTGGAAGGAGGGGATTTAGGGCTCCTGGGGAGCTGGAGGTGGGGGGTGTGTCCCCATTGTCTGAAGGACCCAGGTGCCCAGGTCCCCAGCTTGGGGGGGGCAGGAAATGAAGCCTGGTCGAACAGAAAGTGAAACTGCCCAGGTGGGGCAGCTGGAAGGAAGGAAAGGGGCCCTAACGCACCTGGGACCAGGAGGGGAGGAAAAAGAAAGCTGGGGCAAGCCTGAGAGAGACAGGCTGGGGATTCGAGCCTTAAGCAAAGAATTTCAACCAGCGACAATCTCAACTCCCTCCACCTCCCTCATTCCCACAAATGCTTCTTCCGAGCCTGGCTTACCAAACAGCAGGCTGGGGCAGGGGGTGAGGGGAGGAGGGGAGACTTCGAAGCTAGGCCTGCTAGATTTGGGGGTCTAGGGGCGGTGCCCTATCTGTTCTGACCTGCTGAGGGGGTGGGGGTGTCCCAGGAGACCAGGTCTGTCTAAGTCTTTATTTCTCTAAGCCTCAGTTTCCTTGTCTGTAAAATAGGGGAGCTGGCCCAGTTCCTGATATTTCTCTGAGGCCCAAAGGATTCATTTCCAGGAATCTGAGAAGATTCTAGAATTTGGGTATTTGGGGATTCTAACAGTCTAGGATTCCCACATCTTATGATTACAGGTTTTAGAATTTCAACCATCTAGATTATCAGTAGTCTAATGTTTGAACATTCTAGGAGCCTGACAAACTAGGATTCTAATATTTGAATATTTTAGCATTAAAGGTATTCAACAACCCAGCATTAAAATATTCTAGCATTTCAACACTCTAGGATTCCAACAACCTAGGAATCCAATATTCCAACATTTTAACATTATAGTATTTCAACAACCTAGAATTACAGTATTTGAACATTTTAACATCCAAAAAGTTCAATTACCAAGAATTTGAATATGGCAACAATTTAGGATTGCAATATTCTAACATTTTTACTGACTAGTGTTCCAACAACATAGAAGCCCTCTGTTCTAACTTTCCACATCCTAGGATTCCGACACTGAGTTCCACTTGGTTTCCTCTTTCCATAGCCCCCAGCCCCGCAACCTGGTGACTCTGGTGTCCAAAGTTAAGGACGGATTCGGGTTAGGGAGGTCTGTTTAACAGGCCAGCATCAGACCTAGATGGTGGGAGTACTGTGATTAGGAGAGGGGACACGTCCCCAGAGTTTCTGGGGGTGCAGAGGGGGTGCCTGCCCCTCTGCACACTTCTCAGGCCTGGGGCGGACAGGGATTGGGCTCTGAGACCTCACTTGCCCCGGTAGCCAGCACCGGCACCAACACCCACATGTGTTACCCCATCGCCATGGCCAGCCCGGCTTCAATTTCTACTGTTTCCACCAAATGGGAGGCCTGGATGGGCCCAGGTAGGGAGATCCCCCCACATCTGAGGCCCCCACCTGCTCCTTCCTCCCCTCCCTACACCTGATCGGCCCCTCCCTTCCTCCCTGCCCGCTGTAGAAAACAACATGCAGGGACACGTAATTCGGGGAGGCCTCTGGGGCACACCACCCCTGCCCAGTTTTCCTTCAAGCAGGTGGGTGGGGGGAGGCAACTGGGAGCGAATGCCCCTCACCCCTCAGTTACCCAAGGCTCAGGCCCCTTTGGTCCCCCTCCACCACACCAGGCCCCAGGTGGCCTCTGCCCGCGCCCTCCTCCTCTGGGAGACCTTTTCTGCAAACTAAATGAGGGGACCCCGCACCTTCTGGTCCACGATGGAGCACGCCAGCTGCTTCACATGGGCCAGCTCGGAGGCGGCGGGCAGCAGCACGAACTCCCGGGTCAGCCCGATCTGGATGTGGAAGGAGACCCCGGAACCCGGGGTCGGGACCTGGGGCAGCAGCGGCTGCGGAGACTGGAGCTCCAAGCTGAGGCCGGTGGGTGGCGGAGACCCCGGCAGGGGAGAGCCCGGGAGCCCCGCGAGATGGGTGGGGGCGGCGGCCATGGGGGGAGGCCAGGGACAGGCCGCCTGGTCCGGGTAACCCGGATCACTGTATCCGCGGGATCTCGTAAACTGGTGGTAGGAGCGCGGGGATCCCGGGGATTCGAGAAGAAGAATCTGACAGGTTGAGGGGACCGAGGACGGCAGGATCCTGGAAAAATAGAAGAAATCCTAGTGGGTCAGACGCCCGATAATCACAGGATCACACACGACCCTAAAGGAGAAATCTAGTGGTTTGGGGACCGAATAATTGAGAGTCCAAGAAATCAGAGAAGAAAATCTAGTAGGTCAGGAGCACAGGGATCAAGGGAGCCCGGGATGCAAAGGACCCCTGGAGAGAGAAAAGAGTGGGAAGCAAGGGGGGTGGATCTAGTGGATCTAAAAAGAAGATCTATTTAAGAAGGGGGTTGGAGGGATTCGCCAGACCTTGGAGTGGGGGGCGGGAGTCTCTGAGTCGAGGATCGAGTAGATCCCGGGGATCCGACGGGCCCGGGGATGGGCAGAGGAGTCCCGAGGGCCGGGGTGCTGGGGGGGAATCTCACGGTCTGGGAAGTTGGAGAAAGTTCGGTCGGGGGGCTTGGGGAGGGGGGCGTTACCGGTGGCGGGGGGTGGGCCAGGGGAGGGTCGCCCGGCCCCCGCGGCTTTTTTCCGCTCCAAAGTTTAATTCTGCTGCGGCGGCTCAGGAGGAAGTATCCAGAGCGACAGCTCAGTCGGCCAATAGGCGCGGGCCTCGGTGACGTCAGCAGGAGGGGCAGGGCCCGCAGAGGAGCCGGGGGCGGAAGGGGAGGGCGGGCCGGCTCCTTGGAGCTGGGGGCGGGACCTCCCCACCTTGGGTTGGGGGCCCAGGATGTGGAGGGGGTGAGGGCAGGAAGCCATCGATTGCTCCCCTCAACACTCCCAAGTCTGGAAAGTTACTTTACCCTGAGCTGGAGAGGTAGGGGCGGGCCACCCTCATCCCCACCACACGTCGCGGGCGCGCCGGCCGCGGAGGCGCCTGGCCCTTTAAGAAGGGGGCCCTGTCTTGCCTGGCCTGCATCCGGCGCCCACCGCAGGAGAAGGGGTAGGAAATGGAGAGTCAGGTCGGCCTGCTCTTTGGGCTCGGTCTTCCCGGTCCCAGAGCATCGCCCCTGCCCCTGCAGCGCTGTACTCCTGAGGAAGGGGGCGGCAGAGAGCACCCTTAGCCCATTCCACAGGTGGGAAGACTGAGACCTCCAGATGAGAAGGGCCTTGCCTCAAGTCTGACTCCAGCGACTTCAGCAGGGGCACGGAGCGAACTGAGTTAGGTGTGCCGGGAAGAGGCAGGCGTGGGGCGGGGCGGGGTGAAGATTGGTGTAGTTTCCTTTCATCATCCCAGGGAGCCCTTAGGATGGTGGCGAACCAAAGGCCTGGAGGACTCTGTAAAGGCCAGTTAGCAACCATGGAGGACGACGTCCACACAACTTGTTAGATGGAGAATTGAGATCCAGGACGGACTATATCGGGGCTGCATGTGTCTTTCTGCCTGTGCAACTAGGTAGGTGGTTCCCCTCTCTGAATCTGTTTATCTGTTATATGGGATTGTACTAGGACAACCCTCGGAGGGTTATTGTGGAGATTAATGAGATCCTATACAGGTGCCTGGAACACAGCGCAAGTTCAGTGAACGGTGACTGTCTGTATAACTGCAGAGGATGATACAGGGTGAACACCTCAAGCACCCAGGCATTGAGGGCCTACTGTGTGCCAGACCTTCCCATAAAACACCTCCTCCAGCACCTTGATTTCTCTTCCACAGCTAATAATAAAACAGTGGCTACCATTTAGTTTACATACAGGAAGCTGAAGCTTAGAGAGGCTAATGACTCATCCAGGATCACTGAGCCAGCTGCTGCTGCCCCACCTGCTTCTTGGAGAGGTTCAGGCCCAGGTTTGAGCTCCAGAGGCATCCTGATAGAGAAGGGCAGGCTGGCCTGGCCTGGCTATGGGGCTTTGAGAAGAGTCCCCCCCACCCCAATTCCTGGCACATGGCTGTCACGGGCAGCTGAGGTGGGTACAGTAGCGATTCTGTCACCACATCCGGGAGCTGGGGCCGGGGAAGGAAGTCTGAGGCCAGAGCGAAAACCCAAACCACCACCTGGGGAAGCTGCAGAGCCCGGGGTGGGGGTGGGGGTGGGGGCGGGGGCGGCGAGGGGGAATAGGGCCACGTGGAGCCCACAGCCAGGCTCCCGTCGGCATCACCTGACGGCCATCTGCCCCCCTCACCCACCCTTTGTCTCAACGGGCAGATGCCGCCACCGTAAACTAACACATCTGGAGTGTGCGGTTCCATGTTCACAGGCCACCAAGCCCCTTACAACCTAGGAGGCGGGCATTCTGTCACCCAACTTCACAGAAGGTGCTGAGGCCCAGAGCATGCCAGGACTTGCCCAGACCCCCAGCTGGTCAGTGGTGAAGCCCTTCTGGCAAGCAGAGGGCTTAAGAGAACTGGCCTGGAGTCAGGACTGAATACAAATTCTGCTGACGTGCTAGAGACCCTGAGTGAGACCCTCGGCCTCCAGCCTCCATCTTGTCCTCAGAGATGTGGATAATGGTCCCACTTCTTTGAAATGACATGCAAAGGGCTTGGCCCAGGGCCTGGCTCCTGGTCAGGGCACAGGGTTAGCCGATGTGGTGCAGCCACCTCAGGGCCCTGCAGTGAGGGGTCGGGCACCCTGCCCGTCCCTCGAGCTTGACAAATCTACACCCCCTCCTCCAGGCAGCCTCCCGAGCAAGGCGGGGGGGGGGGGGCTGCAGCCTGTGTCCTTGCAGCCAGGTGCGCACCACCACCCATCACGTCCCCAGGTGGGGTGAAGAGTCATGAGCTGAACTGTTAGATCAACTGCCTGTCAGGGCTCTGCCCCCAGGCTGCTGCTGCCCCTAGGGATGGGACGCTTAGGGACAGAAAGGGACAGGAGATTCGGTCCTCTGCCCCTACTTCCGCCCCTCCATCCACACCCTACCCAAGTTCTGGGCCCTCCCTGGCCCCCCTTGCCCTGTCACAAAACCCCAACCCATTATATCCCCTCTCTCCAAACCCCACCCAACCCAGGCTGAGCTGGCTGATCCCTCCCCAGGCCCCTCTACCCCCAAAGTCCCCAATGCCCACAGCAGTCAGCACCATCACCCATCTTACTCCAAAGGGTTTATTGAGACAAGTTTTCACATACAAGTCCAGGGCGAGAGGGGATGGGCTTATAAACAGGAACCTGGAAGGGGGGCCAAAGGGGATGGGTGGGACCCAAATGAAAAGAGTGAAATAAATAGAGGAGGAGAGTGGGGGGCAGGAGAGGAGACTGACAAAGACTATCACACAGTGATAACAGCCATGGGGGCCCCATTGAAATCCCACTATTTATACAGAGATACAGGGAGTCACAGGTCTTTGGCCCCCACTCTGCCCTCCATGCCCCTGGCAGGGGCAAGAGAAGGCTGTCTCTTCCCATGGGTGACCCCATGGGTGGGGGCTGGGGGGCTGCCCTTGGAGGAGTGTTGGGGAAGTAGGGTGGCACCTGCCCCAAAGGCATCCCCCGCCCAGGCAGTTACTGGCCCTGATGGCGCTGGTTAGTGTCTGCAGAGCAGTGCTGAGTGAACTGAGGAGAGGGGGAGCGGCGTGGGTCCATGGGGGGCCAGGCCCTGGCTCCCACTATGGGAAAGCCTGTGGTTCCTGGCTCCGGGCTTGCAGCTGGCCTGGAGGAGGATGGGAGCCTAGGCCTCCTCCCAGCACAGCTCCCACCCAGGTCTGGGAGGATGGAGGGGAAGGTAGGGGCTCAAGGGGGCACCTGGCACCTTCTGGTGTCTTGGAAAAACGGATCCCCGAGGTCACCGGGCCCTGGCTGTGCTGCCCTCGCGAAGGCAGCTCAGACACCGGAGTAGGGGTCAGGGCCCGAGAAAAAATCCCCCCAGAGGCAACCCTCGGCGGGGTGGGTCCTGAAGGAGGCCCAGGCAGGCAGGTGAGGCCATGGGGGGCTCCCTGGGGAGGGCCCTTAGCACCACCAGGCTCCAAGGCAGGCAGGGAGAGGCCAGGCCTCTGAGCCTCCAGTGGGAGGCTGGGAGTCACCTGCAGGAGACAAGGGAGGGGAGCCTGGACCACGGGCTTCCAGGGCCCTTCGAGGCCTCACACCCCGTCCTCCAAGACCCCAGCCTACCCCAGCGATCCTCACGACCGGGCAGGAAATGCTGAGCTAGGCGGGGTGAGCGAGGGCGCCACACGGGGAGGAGGGCATTCTGCCACCTGAGCCAGGGGCTCAGGCTCCCCGTACAGAGCAAAGGCCTAGCAGCCCCTCACATCAACCCCGCTGGCCCGGCCCCGCTCCCCAGCCAGCGCGGTGGCCAGGGCTCGGCAGGCATCATACGAAGACCTTGGCCAGGGCGTCGGCACCGGCACTGGCAATGAGGGCCTTGCTGGGGTGGCAGGCCACGGCGTGGATGGCCTCCTCGTGCTTCTTGCGGTGGGCCGTGATCTCCTGCACGCACGTCTTGTTGTCCAGGCTCCACAGGCGCAGGGAGCAGTCGTGGCCTGTGCAGTGTGGGAGGGGCTGTCACCGAGTACCCAGGTACCCCACCTCTGCACTCAGCTCCACCCCCTGAACCCCCCCGACCTGGCCTGGACCAAAGGCCTGGCAGGGGGTGGGGGCTTGGTCCCCTTCCACCTGATCCTCTGCCCAGTGCCAAAGAGAACCTTCCTGTCCTGCCCTGCATCACCTCTTCCCCAGATATTTACTCAGCTCCTATTGTGTACTGGCAGTTGGGGGTGCACCATGAACAGAACAGGCACCTCTCCCTGCCCGTGGCACGGACATTGCAGAGGCTTGGACACCGCAGAGCTGGGGAGACTAGGTCAACAAGGAAACAGATTGTAAACCCATGAGGAAACAGAAAGGAAGCAGCCCTGAGGCAGGAGCTGGTGGTGAGGACTGACCAGAGGGAGGGGGGAGGGAGGGAAGGAGGGAGGAAGTGCAGCAGGAGAGCAGGCACAGAGGGCCTGGCAGTCAGGGGGAAGGGAGGGAACAGGTAAGGCAGGACACCGGGCTAGCTGCAGTGGGGGGCTGGCCAAGACACTCAGTTCCATTTTCATAAACATGGGTCCCGGGATGGAACCAATCTGTGGGCCAGGCCTGGACCAGAGCCCCTCTGTATAGCGCCGGATTTCACTGAGCTCAGCCCAGGGGAAGCTGCTGCTCTTGTGTGGCAGCGGGAGAAGCAAAGCCTGGGGCCAGGCCGCTGTCCACGAGCACAAGATGAGGAGGCAGAGTCAGGGTGTGACCTGCTCCACCCACACTCTCCACTGCTCAGAGCCCTCTGTACACCCACCCACCAACGCCCCAACAGGTAGGGACATGCCCTTGCTCCTGAGGGGCCAGAGGCCCTCAACTTACTTCCCGACATCAGGAATACACCATTGGGGTCCACGGCTAGGCAGGTGACAGCGTCCAGGTGGGCGACCATGGAGTGCACGGATTTCCCTGAAGGGAGACAGGGTGGGCGAGTTACTGCCCCACTCTGGGCCTTGACTAGGAGGGTGAGGAGCACAAGGGGATGCTCTGAGAGACCCCAACGGTTCTGGGTCAGAGTCTGGATCACCCCCACCAACACACACAGGGGCACACACAGAGCCAGCATGTGGAGAGGCCAGGAAGGCAGGCCAGGGGCGCCGGGAAGCCTGAGCCTCACCTGTCCGATTGTCCAGGAAGCGAATGCCTCTGTCATCGTGGGCGGTGATGGTGAGGGGCTGGTTTGGATGACTCACCACCTGGTTGATCTGGGTGGGGCCTGGAACGGAAAGGGGAGAGAGGAACGGATGTCAAGGGGAAAATCAGGGAGACCAGGACAAAGGTAAGAGAACAGATGGTCCCCATACCCTTACTCCTCTGCCTAGATGTCAAGGTGGGCTAGGCACACAGGCCACTTCCTTCTCTGGGCCTTGGTGTTTCATCTGTAAAGTGGGCATATGCTTTGTTTTGGGGGTATGCGTGAGAAGCGTGGTAGCACAAGAACTTCTGTGCACTCAATCAAGCGGGCCACCCGCCGGGGGAGGCTGTGTGAGGCACTGGCTCCTCTCAGCCTGAGAGCCCGCCCTATGAGGGTGACAGCTGGGCCTCCACTGGGCCTTAAGTTCCTTCCTTCTCTAGTCCAGCAGTAGCCCAGGCTCAGAGCTCAAGAGGCAGGGGGCCATCTTTAGCTGACTGGGCATCAGGTTGCCAAAGCCACAAGAGGAACTGGGGCTTGTAGGCACGTAGCTCCTGGTCCCACAGGTCTGCCCCAGACCTGGCCTTGGGGCCCCCTTACCAGTGCTCCCCCGGGACTCCAGTGTGAGGAGGGCACTGCTAGCCTCCAGGTCATAGAGGACGGTGTCGCCGGAGCGGAAGGAGGCCACTATGTGGGCAGGCTCGGTGCTGATGAAGGCCACTGAGGTGGGGATCCCGTGTTCTGGGGGCGGAAGGGAGAGAAGGCTGCCTGAGAAGCCCTCACCAGGAGTCCCTCCTCTCCCCAAGGTCTGGCTCTCGTATGAGAGGTCTGGGTCCTCCCAGCGCCCCCTCCTCACTCACCGCTGGCTGTGGGGAAGGTACAGAGGCAGGTTGGGCTGCTGCTCCTGGGGTCCCAGATGCGGACAGTGCCATCGGCGGAGCAGGAGGCTAGGCGCTGGGACGTGGGACTGAAGGCCAAGCCCCACACAGCGTCCCCGTGGCCCTCCAGGACATGGCTCAGCACACTGGGGTCTGGACCCACCCGTGGGGAGGAAACAGGCCAAGTCAAGGCTGCCAGCCCCTCCTCGGACAGCCTGGGCGCACCAGGACGACGAGAGCCTGGGCCTGAGCCACCCACTCCCTCATCTATTCCTATAGACTCATCTGCTCCCCTCTGAGCTGGTCACTACTCTGACCATTGGCTCTTCCAGATTTTAGGACCCTGAGGCACCCCGGAATGGAAGCTCCAGAGAGCAGGATTTCTCTGTTCACTGCTGTCTCCTCAGGGCCCAGAAAAGTGCATCAGGTGGATGCTCAATACGTCATTTTCAGGACTGCGCTAGGAGAGAAGAACAGAGGTGGCTCTGTGGCCCCGGCTGGCCGCACACAAACTCTGCTCCATGAGTCCACAGCCCTCTTGGTCCAGGCAGAGTCCGCCCTGCGCCTGCCCAGTGCATGAGCCATCTGGGTCTCCAAGTCCCTCTGCGTGTTCAAAGGCCGCACCATTGCCTGCCAGCCACTCGAGTCCACACAAGCGGCTCTGGCCTGAGCCCTGCTGACCCTGTACCCGGCAGCTCGCTGGATGTGCAGCATACACTGCCTGGGACTGATCCCTGACCTTTCACAGGGTGAGAATGTTCCCTGGAAAACAGTGCATGACCCTCATGGGGAGACAAACCTTTAAACTCTGCCATGGCAGGATGCAGCACAGGGCCACATGCGTGATCAAGAGGGCTACTGCGGGTGGTATCAGAGGGCAGGGGGACAGACACTGACAGGGACTGTCCCATCACTTCCCTACTCAACCCATAAAAGTGGCCCCGGGATAAAGTCTCCTACAACCAGGGCCACTGACTTCTCCCATCTCACCTTTTCTTCTTTCTCCTCAAAACTGCCCCACTTCATCGACACAACAGCCTGGGCTGACCCCTGAATGCACTGTCTGCCAGCACAAGCCTCCTGAGTGCTGGTTCCCCAGCCTGGGATGCCCTGACCTCTGCCTGCCACATGTCCAGCTCACCCTGATTCTGAGTCGGCTTGACCATCACCTCCTCTGTGAAACACACCCCCTGCACATCCCGAATCACTAACCACCTACACTCCCAGCACTGTGAGAAGGGCAGGACACAGGTAAGCACTGTATGTGTGCTCAGGGAACGGGAGGGGAGGGTGGGCAGAGGGAGGAACTGTCCTCCTCACCGTAACCGTCATAGGGGTCCATGTTGAGGTCTGGAATCTTCCAGCTGTGGATGCGGGCATCTGCCCCACCACTGTAACAGTATTCGCTGTTGTTGCCCATGGCTACTGCCAGCACAGGGCCCCTGGAGGGCACAAAGAGGAGGGGAGACAAAAAAGCTCAGAGTCCCCCCACCACAGGACCTTCAGGTTCTTCACTAGCATTTTTCCATGGTGAGGGCTCTGGTTGCACCATTAGGCAGGCTGCCTGCCACACCCCCCCCACCCCACCGCCACCCCATTTCCTCCTCTGAAGGGCTATGGTGACAGTCAGAGGCCAGGGCCATTGGAGTCTTTGTGAAGCACAAGGGGCTGGGGGTGTGTGCATGGAGAGGGCCACACCAGTGCAGGAGCGGAGGGGCTGGCAGTGAAGGGTCAGAGTGTCTTTGGAGATGGGGTTTTGGGCAGGTTGAGAGGCACTTCCCTACCTATGAGCCCGGAAGGCATGGATAGGTTCCATGTCGAGCGCTGCGTTCCTGTGGGGAGACAAGGAGAGGGATGTCACGGGACCCCCCTCACCCATCCCGCGCCCAGATGCCCACTACCACAGCCTCTGGGGCGCCCTCACTTTTTGGCTGTGACTGCCTTCTGCAGATTCCAGAGCTTGAGCGTGCCGTCCTCAGAAGCGGTGAGCAAAGCCGACTGGCTGTGGTGGAAAGCCAGGGAGCGGATGCCGTCATAGTGAGAGCGCAGGGTGAATTTGGGGTTCCATGTCTTCTTGAAGGCATCTTTGCTGTCAGACAGCTGGGGGCGGGGGCAGGCTGCCTCAGTGTCTGCTCTCCCGCCCTGCAGTCACACAGACACCGACATCCAGGACTTCAAGGACCCCCTTCCCCAGCCAAGCCACATGGACGCCTTTGTAGACGTGTTCTCCAGCCCAGGGTGCTCGCCCTACGCTCTTTGCAGCAAGTTGCTACAATGTGTCAGGCACTGTGCTAGGGGCTGGCGGGACAAAGGGGAGCAGGAACCTTGGGCGGGTGCACTTCACAAGGGGGCTGGGGGGAAAGGACAATCGATTCATCCCACAAGTGCAGAGGATTACAAACCACAAGCAGTGCACCCTGAGGGGGGAAGGGGACAACAGCAGGCAGCCTGACCTCCTCTGTGGGGGTCAAGAAGGCCTTACTGAGGAAGTGACATATGAACTGTTTGTTGCTGTGTGCTGTCAAGTCGATTCCGACTCACAGTGACCCAACAGGACAGAGCAGAACTGCACCAGGGGGTTTCCAAAGCTGTAAATATTTAGGGAAGCAGACTGCCACCTCTTTCTCCCATGGAGCCGCTGGTGGGTTCAAATCACTGACCTTCTGGTTAGGAGCTGAGCGCTTAAACACTGTGCCACAAGGGCTGCCATGACATGTGAACTAATACCTGACAAATGAGTAGACTTAACCAAATAAGGGCAAGGAGTTGAGGAAGGAAACTGCATGTGCAAAGGCCCTGAGGCTGGAGGCAACGAGGGCAGACCCAGAGCCTGAAAGGAGGTCAGTGTAGCCGGAGTGCAGAAAGCAAGGGGAGGGTGCAGGTGATAGGGCCAGAAAGGTCAGAAGGAGGCAAAATGGGAGCCACATTCAGGGATCTGCACTTCACCCTAAGAAAACATCTCAGAGAAATGGGAAGCCACGAAGGGTTTAGAGGAGGAGGGCAATACGGCTTGTGCTGGCTGCCCCACGTGAAACTCACATTGGGAGAGGTAAGAGCGGCTAGAGATGTATCTAGAATATATGAAGAACTATTACAACTCTAATAAAAAGACAAATAACCGTATTAAAAAACGGGAAATGGAATAGACATTTCTCCAAAGAGGATATAAAAATTGGCCAATAAGCACATGAAAAGATGCTCCACATTAGTCACTAGGGAGATGCAAATCAAAACCACAATGAGATACCACTTGACGCCCGCTAAGACAACTACAATCAAAAAGAGGTAAGAAGTGTTGTGAGGATATGGAGAAATCAGAACCTTCATACACCACCAGTGGGGGTTTAAACTGGTGCTGCTACTTTTGTACAACAGTCTGGTGGTTCCTCAAATAGTGAAACACAGAGTTCCCATATGACCCAGCAATTCCACTCCTAGGTATACACCCAAGAAAAATGAAAACATGTCCACACAAAACTTGTACACAAATGTTCATGAAGGGATTATTCACAACAGCCAAAAGGTGAACAATCCAAATATCCATCAATGGATGAATGGCACATAATACAATGGAATATTATTCAGCCATAAAAAAGAATGGAGTAGTGATACATGCTACAAGATGGATGAACCTTGAAAACATCATGCTAAGTGAAAGACACCAGACACAAAAAACCATGCGTTACTCGTTTCCATTTATGTGAAATGTCCAGAACAGGCAAGTCCACACAGACAGAAAGTAGACTGGTGGTTGCCAGGCTGCAGGGGATCGAAAGCTGACAGCTAAGAGGTAGGAGTTTCTTTCTGGGGTGATGGAAATGTTCTTAAATGTGAATCTGCACAAAGCCATTGAATTGTACACTTTAATTAGGTGAATTGTATGGTATGTGACTTGTATCCCAATAAAGCTGTTAGGAAGAGAGGTTAAGAGGTTGTGAGGAAGCCCAGGGAGCAATGGGGCTTCGGAGCACACACCTGATGGTGGAGATGGAGACAGTACACAGAGTGCGGCGATGCTGTGGGGAGCTAGACACATGCCCCATGGATGGTGGTGCTGCTCAATGAGTTGAGGGCCCTGGGAGGGCCATGTCTGAGAGTAATGATGCCAGGCAAGTCTTAGCACCCCACGCTGTGTGTGAGGGGGTTTGCACCTGACGAGCCCTTTTACCTGGGCGCCTGTGCACCCCAATGCCCGCCTAAACTGCCACTTCGGCCATAGTTCTTTTGGGTCCGAGGACCTGATGTCAGGTGGGCACCCAATGCCTCCCTGAGCAGAGCGTGGGACATTCCACCTCATACCCACAAAAGGGTGACGTCTCAGGGAAAGCACACCCACTGCTCACACCCCCACGCCAGCCCACTTCCCGGCAGTCTATGGCAGTACCCCCCAACCTCACTAGGGTCATCAGCCCCTTGAGAGCCTGCTAGAAAGTACGGGTGATGAAGAGACACAGGAAACGTGCACTCGCATCCATGCCCATGGGTTCCTGACTGCCCAGCCCAACCATGGACCCTGGGCTCAAAACACTGGCCTTGGGACAACCTGCACCCCAGCCCATCTGTCCCATCAGCCCCTGTTCACACCAGAGGCACCTGATTTTTTTGGATTTTGGCTTGAAGCCATATTCCCAGCTCCCCGACCAGTCCTCTGGATTTGGTGTGCCATCTTCCCGTGCCCCAAATCCCACCTGTCTTCGAAGCACAGCTGAATCTCACCTCCTCCACAGAGGGCTCTCACCAGCATGGCCGCCACCCGCAGGACCCACTGCTCCTTTGACACTGGACTGCTGTCAGCCCACCCCCGCGGCCGTGCTGGGGACTCACCAGACGAGGAAGAGCCTGGCACAGTGACTGAGACCCAGACTCTAGTCCTCCAGGCCCCAAACCTTATGACCCTAGTCGGGTTCCTCCCCCGTCTGCACTGTACCCCTCTGTAAAGTGGGGTGAATAGGAGGACCTACTTCCCAGGGCTGCTGAAGTATCTCACTGAATGCTCACGTGTCAGGGAGCCAGCACAGGTCTGGTGCCCAGGCTAAGCTCAGCAGGTGCTGGCATCATGCTTGAGTGTGGGCAGGGGCCAATGGGGTGGGGTTGGGGGGGGGTGCCCCATGAACTTACATCACAGCTGAGGTCGTTGTCATTGGTGACGGTGAGATCTGCCAAGTCCCCCAGGCTCACCTCCCCGCCCCCGATAGTGTCCATGATGAAAACGTCTGAGGAGAAGCCAAAGGAACCTGGTGGGGGGAGGGGAGGGAGAGTGCAGAGAGGGGCAGGGAGAGAGAGAAAGACAGACAAGAAGCCGAGGGAGAGATAAGGAGTGAGAAACAGAGACAGGGAAAGGATAAGATCAAGAATACAGCTGAAAAGAAAGAGAGAGACAGACGGACAGGGCAGGACAGACAAAAAAAGAGGGAGACAGACAGACAGACGCACTTTTGGGACAGGGAGGCTGCAGGCTAGAGGCCTGGCCTCCACACTGAGGACACAGAAGTCCCGGGCTTAGCTCTGCAGCCTCCCTCTGCTGTGGGCCCCTGGGGACTGGGATGGGCCACTTACCTTCGTGGGGTCGGGGCTGAGGAGTGCCAGGGGGTGGGCCGGTCACTTTGGGAGGCAGCCCATCCACATCGCGAAGGTCTGCCAAAATTCCCTGGAGTTTGACCCGACGGCTTTCTGGAAGGACAAGACGCATGAGAGGAGTTACCCACCCATTCTTCCCCAGGTTCACACGGGCCATGCCATCCTTACCCTCACCACCTGACGCCTTGCCTGCAACTGTGGCTGGGAAAGTCCTGGCCACAAGGCAGGCAGAGGAGATTGAGCTTGAGCTGGCACCTCTATGGGGCCCTTGCCTGGGCCTCAGCGTGCACAGCCACACCCCCTGGCTCAGAGTCACAGGGAGGAAGACGCAGCAGGGCCCCATCAGCCTTTCCCCTGCTGAGTCCTCGTCTGCTCCCTCCTTGAGGTCACAAAGGACTGGATGCTGCTGGGGAGGACTGGAGGCCCCCCAGAGCCACAGGGATTTTCCAGGGAAGGGATGAAGGGCCTGACCACCCTGGCGCGGGCCTCCTGCTCTCCTTGGCCACTCTCCTCTCAGGAAGTGTATCCGTCCGGTGGAGAGGCCCTGGGGCAGGAAGCAGCTGCAGGCGCTGTGTGTGGAAGAAGCAGGGCCAGGGTCTGCCCGCCCCCCGCCCCCTGCAGTCGAGGAAGGCAAGCAGAGGTGGACCAGAAACCTCAACTCACCCAGCTCGTGGTGGTTCCCATCTCCAGTACAACGCCGCGGGTCTGGAGACCCTTCCCCATCCTCCCCAGAGCCCAGGAAATCAAATTCGTTGATGGCGTCCTCTGAGTCATCCTCTTCATCCTCATCCTCCATCTCAGGCACCAGGGCCTTGGAGGGGAGCTGGGGCATGGAAAGAGTGGACAGGTCACGGCTCTTGTCCAGAGACCAAGCCCACCCGGGGCTCTGAAACAGACAAGCAGTGGTGTGGTGGCCAGCCTCTGTCTCTCCCGGCTGAGACCCATCCTGCACCGGCTACCAGGAACACTCACTGGTGCCCCACACGTGGCTGTGCAGCTCCCCCTGCTGGGAGCCTTCGGAAGTGCCTTATTCCTTGGGAAAGGGCAGTGCCCAGTGAGCTTTACAATGGAGTCCCCTGTAAGGGCCCTCTAAGGAGTCCTGGTTGCACAACAGTTAAACGCTGGACTTCTAAAGCCAAAATGCTGGTGGTTCAAAACCACCCAGTGGCTCCATGGAAGACAGACCTGGCAATCTGCTCCCATAAAGATTATAGCCTAGAAAACCCTATGGGGCTGTTCTACTCTGCCACATGGGGTCGCTATGAGTCAGAACTGACTCGACAGCAACTAACTACAACATATGGGCCCTCTGCCCCCCTCCCTTCATGCTCACAGGCCCTCCTCCTAGCTTTTGCCCAGGCTACGCCTGCCTGGGCAAATCTGCTGCAAAAGACCTCTTCAAAGTGTTAAAAAACAAAGATGTCATTTTGAGAACTAAGGTGCACCTGACCCAAGCCACGGTGTCTTCATTTGCCTCATATGCCCGTGAAAGCTAGACAATGAATAAGGAAGACCAAAGAATTGATGCCTTTGACTTATGGTGTTGGCAAAGAATATTGAATATACCATGAACTGCCAGAAGAACAAACAAATCTGTCTTGGAAGAAGTACAGCCAGAGTGCTCCTTGAAAGGGAGGATGGCGAGACTTCGTCTCACATACTTTGCACATGTTATCAGGAGGGACCAGTCCCTGGAGAAGGACATTATGTGTGCCAAAGTAGAGGGCCAGTGCAATGAGATGGATGGACACAGTGGCTGCAACAATGGGCTCAAACATAGCAATGATTGTGAGGATGGCGCAGGACCGGGCAGCGTTTCATTCTATTGTACATAAGGGCACTATGAGTTGGAACCAACTAGACAGCACCTAACAACTCCTGCCCGCCCCCTGGCTTTGCCCTAGCACATTACCTCTCATGAAGAAAAGTCAGGGAGGGGGAAATATTTGTGTGTGTATGTATGTAACTGAGTGCATGCAGGCACACAATTAAAATGATGAAGAAGAAAAAAACCAAATTTGTTTCACTGAGTCAATTCCAACTCATAACGACCCTATAGGACAGAGTAGAACCACCCACAGGGTTTCCAAGGCTGTAAATTTTACGGAAGCAGATTGCTGTATCTACCGAGAAGTGGCTGCTAGGTTCAAACCACTGACCTTTCAGTTAGCAGCCAAGCACTTAACCATTGCGCCACCAGGGCTCCTTAACCACAGGTATAACAGTGATACAGTAAAACCCACAAAAGCCAGCACCTGTGAAAGGTGGAAACCTGTCAGAGCAAGAAAACGCAAATATTTTCCACTAAAATGAGCAACAGAAAAGTGGTAAGACTGCACCCTGTCAGAGGTGGGGAACTAGCAAGACCCGGAAAAACAAGGCAGTCCCATCACGTTCCGGTTCTCACAGGTTTCACGTATCAGACTCTCTGTGCTGACGCAATGCACTGAAACCCAGTGAGTGCCAAGGAAGCTTTGCACACACGACTTCACTGACCCCTCACAATGGCCTGTGAGTGGTGGTCATTATTATAGTTATTACCCCATACCGCAGGTGAGGAAGCTGAGGCTGAGCACAGTGAAGATACCTGCCCAAGGTCACCCATTCTGGGCTACTCCTTACGCAATGGGACAGCACTGGGGGCCGAGATTACAAGTGGCTTTCCAAGTCCTCCTTATCACTTTCTACACTGGCTGATTTTTTTTTTTTTTTCTTATATAAAAAGCACATACTACTTTTAGAATCTGTCCGGAAGCTCCACTGAAACCTGCCCACCATGGGTGACCCTGCTGGTATTTGAAATACCAGTGGGATAGCTTCCAGCATCACGGCAACATGGAAGCAACCATAGTATGACAAACCGAGATCTCTTTAACGCGTTAAAAAGCAAAGACGTCACTTCAACTACTAAGGTGCACCGGACCCAAGCCATGGTATTTCCAATCGCCTCATATGCATGCGAAAGCTGGACAATGAATAAGGAAGACCAAAGAAGAACTGATGCCTTTGAATTATGGTGCGGGCCAAGAATACTGAATATATCATGGACTGCCAGAAAAACAAACAAATCTGTAGAGGAAGACAGTGAGAATGCTCCCTAGAAGCAAGGCTGGCGAGACTTCATCTCACGTACTTTGGCCATGTTGTCAGGAGGGAGCAGGCCCTGGACAAGGACATCACGCTTGGTAAAGTACAGGGTCAGTGAAAAAGAGGAACACCCTCAAGGAGATGGACTGACACAGTGGCTGCAACAACAGGCTCAAGCCTAGCAACGATTGTGAGGATGGCACAGGAGCAGGCAGGTTTTGTTCTGTTGTACAGAGGGTCGCTATGAGTCAGAACTGACTCAACAGCACCTAACAACAACTTTTAGAATGGAGTTCCTGGGTGGTGCAAACAGTTAAACACTCAACTACTAGCCAAAAGGTTGGCGGTTCAAACTCACCCAGGGGTGCCTAGGAAGACAGGCCTGGCAATATGCTTCCAAAAGGTCACAGCCTTACAAATGCTAGGGGGTGGTTCTACTCTGCACACGTGGGGTTGCCATGAGTTGGAATCGATTCAATGGCAACTAGTAACAACTTTTAGGATGAGAAAAAGAATAAAGTTCATTCCTGGGCAAAGGGACACTCAGTCTGCTGGAAACTCTAATGTGGTCGGTCTTACCCAGAGGTAGGAACCAGCTCCTCTTGAGTTGTCTTCCTACGTTCACAAGCTTGGGCCCATCCCAGACTTGGGAAGTTAGGAGCAGCACCATGCTGCGTGTGACCCACGTGAATGCAATCCCTTCTATATATAACTTAAGAAGTTACAGAACTCTATCTTGAATATGTATTCTTTATCCTGTTATTAGATCTACGTACATTTTACACAAAGCACATCTAGGGGTCGTACACTCGGAACCACACAGTCCACATTTTATAAATGGTTCAGGGATTTTTCAGAATTTTCAAAGCCAATTTTGATATGTTAGATTTTTGCCTGAAGTACTGGCTTAAGAAGCCCCAACCACAAGCTCCTCCACGTCGTGGAAGGTACCCCCGTGTTTCCTCATCCTTGCTGCCAGCATGAGACCTGGCCTGGGAAGGCGCCAATGAATGCCTGAGGAAAGCGCCATCACAACGGGGGCTCAGGTCATCAGGGAGCAAGGGAGAAGAGGTGGGGGCCAGACTGCGAGGCGGAGTGGAGGTGATCAAGTGGAGGTGATGGACTCTCCCTTGTGGGCAGTGCTCCTGACACCAACAACAGACTGGATGCCCACACCCTACGGAGTCCCTCAACCTGGCTCCAGGCTGAGCCCGAGGCCCAGCCACATGCACTCATGTTACAAAAGTTACTGAGAGCTTTCTCTAGTCCACACCCCCTTCAGGGCACTGTGGACAGCAGCCAGTAAGATCCGCACAGTCCCTACCCTCACGAGCTTACAATCTACAAGGGGAGACTGAGAGACAAAAAGCTACAGTCACAACTAAAAACACATAACTGCAACTGCGACCAGACTGTCCAGAAGAGAGCTGCCCGAGTTTGCCAAGTTCCGGAAAGGCCTCCTTAGTGAAGATGGAGGATGGGAGTGGGAGAGGGAAGACGACACGTGAAGGCCCTGACAGTAAGGACTCAGGCACCTCGGAAGGTTCTGGAGGTGGGGGCGTGGCTGTAGAGAAGACAGGGACTCTGGAAGGGAGACACGATGAGGCCACTTAGGCAGCAAAGAGCTGCCCTGTTGCTGTCTGTCCCGCTCGGACCAGGGGCAGGCAGGGGAGTGTCCTCTGGACACAAGCTCACCTTCACACGCTGCTTCTTGTGCTGCACGCTGTCCAGCTCATCGTCCTCGTCGCTGTCCTCGTCCTCACAGTTCTGCAGGAAGGGGATCTGCTCTAGCACCGAGCCACCGAGGCGCTCTTTGCCGTCTTTGCCTGCTGCATTCCTGCCCACAACAGGGGGACGAGGGGGTGTTAGTCCTACTAGGTGACAAAGCCCAGGTGGGAAGGGGCCGAGGCCTGGTGGCTGGAGCCTGGACCCATCTCGAGTACCTGAGCCCAACCCTGGCCCTAGAGCAGCCCCACCTCTGTCACAGCCAGGGCCCTGAGCCTGACCTCAGAGAGATGCCCACCCCAACCTAAACCCTCGCGCAGACCTCAGATGGGGCCCCGCTCCTCACTGAGCCCCAACACAAGTTCCCAAGGACTAGTCCCAACCCTGACTGCCAATCTCCCCACAGGTGCCGTGTCAGAAGGAGAGTTGGTAGAGAAAGTGCCACTGACACAGCAGATTTGTTCTCAGGACCTGGTCAAACCACAAGTGCAGGTCAGCACGTGGCCGGAAACACCCCCCAGAGGGAAGAGGAAGTGGTCACTCCTCATGCGCGTGCACCCACAACAGCCTGGCCACGAACGCAGCCTGCACTAGCACCAGTGCCACCAGCACCTCCTGGCCCGTAGCTTCCTGCCTCCCTGTAGATGATAAGGTTGGCAAAGGAGGCGTTCACTGAGCCTGACCCCAGGGTAGAATGCAGAAGGGATGCAAACTTCAGGTAAATGCAAACATCCCTCTGTCTGCCATGAGGGTAATGTTCTAAAGAGTTCTGTCAACTGCTTTGTGGCCCTAAGCTGGGGAACTAGAGGCCGGCTGAGAAGGTGGACGCCTGCCCTGTGCTCCACACTGGCTACTCGGCATCTCTGCTTGGATGTCAAACAGGCACTGCGTGTCCTAACGGACCTCTTGATGTTCCACTCCTCATGGCCCCGTCTCAGTAAAAGCCTGCTTTCAGTTGCCCAGACAAAACCCTGGAATCATCGTCAACTTACTTTTCTCTCCACCACATCCAATCCATTAAATAGTGTTGACTCCACCCTAAAAGCGTTATTGGGAGTCTGACCACTTCTTCCCTCTCCACTGCTAAAGCCCATCACCTAGACTCATGTCGTGGGCCCCTAACCCATCTCCCTGCAGCCCCCCGGCTCTCCTCCAGCTTGGCGTTCTCAAATCAGACCAAGTTCTATCAGATTATGCCACACCCCAGCCCAAAACCACTGGTTTCCCAAAACCGGCAGAGAAGAATCCAAACTCCTTATGACAGCTAGTGAGGCCCTATATGATCTGACCCCTGGGATTTCAACCTCTCACCACAGACCACAATCCCACGTGCTCAGTCCACTCCAGTCACCCTGCCCTTTCTGCTCTTGCTCTGCCTGGAACGTTCTCCTCCCAGCTATCCGTGTGGCCCACCCTCATCCGCTTCTCTGCTCAAATGCCCACCCCATCCAGAAAAAGACTGCGCCTCTCACCGTTCTTTCTTTTCACCTTTCTTTTCTTCATAGCATTTATCATCACCTAACAATACATTATGTACTTTGACAAACAATAAGCGTTAAACTAAGGAATGAACAAATAAGGGCTCCCCGAGGGTGGTGCCCATGCCTGTTATGTTCCCCACTGTGTCTACAGCACATCACCCAGGATCTGCCTCCAGCAGGTGCTCGATGTTTGCTGAGGTACGTGTCCGGGCCTGAGCCTCGCGAGAGGCTGGGCTAAAGATGAGGCTGGGGCATGATGGCTGAAGCCACAGAAAGTGGACAGGGACCCAGAACAGAATCCTGGGGATTCAGCAATGACGGGACAGAGGCTTCCAGAATCAGCGAGCCCACAACATACTCCAGGAGAAGTGGCCACCGGAGCTCCTGGGAACATCTGTTGACGTTTCTGACACTGGCTTTCGTCAGACGGGAGGGGCAGTGGGATGGAGACAGCAGGTCTGAGGGCTCACCTCTTGATCTGCTCCTCGATCTGCCGCACCAGCAGCGACTCGCCCCCACTGAGCACCCCAGGGCCCGGCGTGGCCCTTGGGCCCGCTTCACTGGGCTCCACGGCCCCGTTGAGCTCCAGCGAGCGGCCCAGCAGGGAGCGCACACGCTTCGACCGCATGTCCAGGATGGTGTCCGTGTAGCCCACCTCTTCCAGGTACCTGCAGGGGCAGAGCCAGCTCAGGTCAGACCTTCCCTGGGCTTCACTCTGCATTGCAGGGGCCAATGCACACCGGGAGAGCCTTTTAGAAGGGCAACTTTTCAGAGGAGACACCAAAATTGTAAACTAAGCACACCCTGGACCCAGCTGCCTCACTTGTGAGACTCTTTGTGGAGGAAGGCCCTGCACACACGCAGACGTTCACTATGATGCTGTTTGGGAGAGCTAAAATGCAGGGACCAGCCTCAGTGTCCGTCATTGGGGGCCGTGTAAGCAATTACTGAGGAGGACACTAGGCAGAAGACAAACAAGGCAGCATCCCAAGGAAAGGTGGCCATGAGAAATGGCTGAACAAAAACTATAAGTTACAGGTTCAGCATGATTCAAGCTGTTGTTTAAAAAAAATGATGGGAATGTGTGTACAAGTATACAGCACACACAAAGCCACACATCTGCGTTATGTCCCTCCAAGAGGCCTAGAAAGACATACACTAAACTTAATAGCAGTGACCTCTGGAAAATGGGATTAGGGATTTAAAAGGACGCTTGCAATTTATAAGGAGCCCTGGTGGCACAGTGGTTAAAGCACTCAGCTGCTAACCCAGAGGGTCAGTGGTTCGAATTCACCAGCTGCTCCGCAGGAGAAAGATGTGGCAGTCTGCTTCTGTAAAGATTTACAGGCTTGGAAACCCTATGGAGCAGTTCCACTCTGTCCTAGAGGGTTGCTATGAGTCAGAATTGACTCAACAGCAGTGGGTTTTGGTTTGCAATTTACTCTACTTACTTCTGCAATTAAGAAAAGAAAGCTGGGACTGATCTAAAAGTTAAAAGAAAAGGGAAAGAAAGAAAAAGAATCAATGTATGGGTACCGGTGCTTCAAAAGATGTGAAAAGGCAAAAAAGACCAGATTTACTGGCCTAAAGGAGACTGGAGAAACCCAGAGAGTATGGCCCCCAGACACGCTTTTAGCTCAGTGGTGAAGTCATTTCCGAGATTCACCATTCAGCCAGGGAGTAGACAGCCCCATAAGACCAAATGGGACTAATGAGGCACAGCAGTCCAGGGACAAGGACTAGAAGGCAGAAGGGGACAGGAAAGCTGGTGATAAGAAACCCAAGGTTGAGTAAGGACAGTGTTGATGTGTCGTGAGGTTGTTAACCATTGTCATAGGGCAACATGTGTACTAACTGTTTAATGAGAAACTATTTTGTTCTGTAAACCTTCATCTAAAGTGAGAAC